ACGAACCTCTCGAGGGGGGTGACACAACCAGGCGCAAGACTACTCAGAGATCGGTTATATCTCTGCGTTGCTCAGTTAACAGAGCCTCTCGATGATAAACCAGTTCTGTTTAAATCGACCTACAATCACATGTATAGTCATTTTTAGAAGCGTTAGTGATGTCAGTGACACCTAATATATACCTCCTCTCCAGTAGGTAGACAAAAGTATTCCAAAACCACAAGGAATATCTTTGTTGAATAAAAAATGAAAAAAATAAATAGCAGTCGTTCTATATAATCGATTTCGATATTCACTTTTTCCAGGCCAGGGGTGGTGGTGATACAGGGGTGTTGCTGTAATTGTGTGGGTTGTAGTCGGGGAAATTATTTTCAAAATCCCCCAAATCATGATCCTACACTAGTAGTACCGTTATTTCTGGGGAATAAGCCCATGGGCTTAATGCAAAGTAGTGGTAGAAAAATGCTTGCTGATTGGCTTAAGTCACGGGAATATGCATACACCACCAGTTATCCTTGACTTTCCTCCCACCACTTTGCTTTAAGCCCATGGGCTTACTTCCCAGAAATAACGGTACTCACAACTACTACTGTCTAGCCAAACAGGGAAAAGAACTCTAGATCACATTTAGTACCTACGAAACTCTGTTTAATCCCGGCAAACCAGCTCAGGTCATAATCCAAACGGACCCTTCACTACGCAGATATCAAACAATTTTGCAGAGTGCCTGTAGAAAATCTCGCATAGTAAGTAATTATAAGCTCCTTACCCTGTCTCAGGATTAACCAACAGGTTTCGATCCTGGCATGTAAAGGTTTTAGGGATATCCCTATACACTGGCCATCCGCTCTTTAACTTGTAGATAAGAAAAGATGGAGAGTTGAAGATCTGATCCCCCGCCGGAAGGTCTCCGAGGGTTATCGCGTCATTTCTGTTTCCCTGCAGATTTTCACGGCTGATTGATCAAGATTTTCTGATAGATAACTATTTTTTCCACCCTGGTTTGGGATATACATACATACATACATGTGCCAATAGTGGATGTGGACCGGCGAAATATCCCCGGGATACAGTAAACACGTGAGGTAGAAACAGCTCCCACAAAAAAAAAGGAAGTTTGGGTCGTCCCCAGGTACCTTTTTAGAGATACCTTACTGTATGCCTAATAGGCTGATATCATGATAGACGATTCGCTGGAAAGATGAACATGTCACCTTTATATTTGTGACTAATATTTGGATTTTCACTGAGATTACGTGTGGATCTGATCTTAGTGGATAAATAGGACCGCATCTTTCTCTGATAATTGCAAGTGTGGAGTATATCCAAGAGTTCGCTAATTTTTATGGCCTCTTGTGTCATGAGTTCTATTCTTAACAAACGTCCAGTCACGCTTATAGGTAGAGGTGGGAGTTGCATGTACGTACCTAAATAGGCTGTGTACATAAGAGTATGTAGAAACTAAAATCAGTTAGCTAAATCCTGGAAAACAGTTCGCTACAAGCATTGCCGGTTCTTCCAGCTACAGCCGATCCATCACGAAGATCTTGAAGACCAGGGGTTGGTACCTTAATGAGACTAGTGCGGTAAACAGTTCATTGTGACAACTGCAACAAACAGAAGCGATCACTTCTGCCGTTCCTTTCTAGTAAAAAATACCGGGTACGATCAGTAGGACGAGTAAGGCGAGTAAGCCAGCTGTAGTTACGCCGGCCCAGCCGATGTATTATGTGCATACTTCATTCAGTAAGCGCTTTCATATATAGGCGCTCCTCTCCTTGCATAAGTTGCTGGCAAGGATATACTCTAGGCAATGCCTGGACATGTGCACCTCTCCTTCCTCTCCTTAGTGTGTGTCATGGGTGATCACTCGGTCAAATATTCATGTAGGTACGTGCATAGCAGCCAGTCGACTGCGCCTTCAACGGATCTATACCCCGGTTTAGGAACATTTCTGTAAGTAATTTTTCTAAAAAAAAAAAAAAAAAAAAAAAAACTAACTGTAGCGATAAGATAAGTATCACTTACATTTTTCTCCCAAAAGCACTATATTCGAGCTCAATACCGGCAGCTCTGTTGAGTTTCCACAAGCATTGTAGTCAATGGTGAGAATTTGGTTGAGAAATTTCCCCTCGCTCCGTAGAATGATGAGCTGACTGGCACGTATGTACCTCGATCCTCCTATCACACACAAAATATGACACAAAAGACCCGTTAAGCCTACATTTTCATGGGATACCCCGCTGAGACTGCTGGCGCGGGGATTGTTCTTATTGGGTTGGGAACCTGGATTATTGCCGTATTGTCCAGGTGGGTGGCACTCTCTTGGTGATATCCCCAGTACTAGTCAGGATATCACAATGTGTGACCGAGTACTGGATGCGATCAGCACCCATAGATATGACATGTCCAATTGCTAATCCAATATTCGGCAAAGGCTCAACTATCACTTTCGAATTTCAGTGGTGTGCATGACAGATTTGTAAGGTGGTACTCCTTCTGTTTTATTTTCGGAACTTGTCGGACGTTTTTTTGTAGTTGGGGTGAAGGATGCAAGACTGGGAAGGCAGAAAATCAAGAAAGCTTCAACAAGTAACTGGTCCGATGAAGATAAATGAGGTGTTTGATCGTAATTAATGATAGCTTCGAAATGACTTGCGGGGTGAGAATGGATGGCTTTACGGATTACAAATGCAATATTGGCATGCAAGAACCATGAGTTCCCGATTGCAATTCTAGAGCACATGTACCTACATGTACATGTATGTAGCCTCTTACGCGGCCTTCTACTTGGACTCCGAGGTCCATACTATCTGCCCCTAGCCAACTAGCCCGGAGCTCGCGGCTCCACGTAATTACATGTAGGTATGCAGGTATACAAATACACCTCGATGCCACGTATGAAACTGCTTCTTTAGATCAGATCAACTTCACTATCACGCTCTGTCAAACTTCACCTTTTCTGTTGAACACTCGTTAAAATCTCAGCTCATCCCCCAACCATAAACGAAAATGTTTCAAACAAGTTTCAATAATCTGTACCCATCGACCCTAATATAGGCCCTGAGTATTGATTAATTACCGTAACCTTCTTTACACGTATATTGCAAGTTGGCTACAGAGAACAACTATCAAGATAGATTAGGAGTACAACCTTAACATGAGTGCTCTATCGTCCATAATCTAAACAGATAAATACCCTCCATTGTAGCTCCTTACAGAAACTGGGCTCTAATCAAAGGTTCGCAAGATACTACAGCAAGTTCCCAAGGATAAGCAAACCAGATTAGTTTTTACCAAGGTATTGTCCAGGAGCCTGGGTTATCTGGTTAAATGGGCGAATCTACCGCCTACGACGCCACGGCTAAATTGTAAGCGAATAGAACATCTGTGCATATGAAGCTCACAGAATTCCGGATCCGAGTTTCCTTTACTATGGAGTTGGCGTTGAACAAACAAGCTCAATTGATTGGAATGATCAAACTCCCGAGCATGCCATCAGCAAGCAATGTAGCAGAATACTGAGCTACACTTTCAGAGCCTAGAATATAGCATCAATGCTATAATACAGCCAGGTAAATTATATATTCAATGCAAGACATCGGATGGTGACCGAGTGACCAAGTGACCGAGTGACCGATGGTGATCGCAAAGTTTCAAAGGCTTGTTGTTATTATTGATTAATAAAGGCTAGATCCAGTAGAACTTATATCATTAAACGATTGAAGACCTAGATATATCTATAGACTCCCCTTACCGCTTAAGTTTAGACGGTGAAACAGGCTTATCCCTACAACGTATATAATTAATTCTCGTCTAATATTTCCATTAATTCTGGGAGGATCCAACTCGAGGTCGTCAAGCTAGCTAGCTTAGAAAATGAAGAAAAACCACCGAAACAACCATTGTAAATGCTCAAACATATATGATGAATTGTACAGTGCTATGGCTATGAAAATTCACGGCTAGCGTTCAAGCCCTGGAGATGCTTTGGGACACCAAAAGGCGTAACCACCAGAGATTAAGTTATAAAGCGGGTTAGGTTGGGAACTTCCGCTTTTGGATGCGAGCACTAAATACATATTTCTAGTTCCCCCTAGGCTCCTCCATGGTAGGTAGTGTAAACTGTATTAGAAAGGGTATTCTATACCTTTGAATATATTTTTGCTGGATATTAATACATGGCTATTCCCTCATAGTACAACAAACAGTTTTACAGAGTGACTATACGTAAATTCGTAAATTCTCACTTCAATTTTCCCCCGAGTGATATCCCATGATTTGAATTCCCTTTAATCCCTCTGCTCTGGATCATGATACACAAGTCAACAACTTAAGGCGTGAAAAGATAACTTCATTCTATTTCGCACAAAACAGGTAGGGCAAATACGCAGGACCATAAAAATGAAAATCAAGAACTGTGGGGAATATTCAACAATTGTACAATACACTCGATACACACTCAAGTAACACTCCAAACCCCCTAAGACAACATTATAAACGTATATGTGAAGATAGGTAGAGAAATAAAAGAATCTCACAGGCTCAATATTTAGTATGTGTTGATCTCATAGAGACTAGGAAGGGGAATAGATTTATACGAACCAGATAAAAAGATCAAAGGGGGAAACGTGACAATATTTGACACGTGTATAAGCGCATAATTGAATCGAAGGGAGAGATGAGACGCGGAGAGATAAGTAGGTGAGAGATGGACAAACAAAAATGGGAATAGAAAAAGGTAATTTCCAATAAAAAAGATCTTTCGAAAAGAAATCGAAACAAAAAGATCTCCGCTCAACACCAACAAACAAAAACTAAGGTATTTCCCAATAACAATAACTAACATATATAGTTAGCCCAATCAAAAAAAGCTATAAGATCCCTCCCCATTCTCCTTCCAGCGGCTAATCACAATCATTATCCAGCCAGTGAATGTAAACTAAACAGTAAATCATCACAATCACAAAAAGGAAAAAAAAAAGAAATTACATCATTACTTATATAACGCCTCCACTAGCTCCCTGACCCTGGCTCCTAATCGGACTCCTGCTATCCCCTGACCTACTATCACTCCTCATCGCCGCCTCTGTCTCCTCCTGATGCAACTTCTGTCGCCACTGCGCGAGACTACTGCTCAACTCACCGCCCTCCGTGCTTGTTGGCGTCTTCTCGAAATCAAAGGTACTGCTAAGTCTATAATTTTTGTTGGTGTTTTCCCAGTGTGTCCTCAACGCATCAAGCTCGGTAGCCAGACTGTCCAACGCAACGCTGTTACGCCCGTCTGGAGCACCGCCATAGAAGCTGCTGTGGGTAGATTGGGGTTCACCGCCGCCGAGACCATTCGGACCGGTAAGTGTGCTGCGACGGTACGCATCGACTGAGTCTTCGACACGGTCGAGAAGGAACGACACACGTTCCTCTGCATCTTGCGCTCTGCGCTCGAGGAGAGAATTCTCGTTCTCAAGTCTATCGAGCTGAATTCTGGTCTCAGATAGCTGTTGCGAGAGGTCCATAAGCTGTACTTTCATCTGGTTATTCATGAGATTGGTCTCATTCATAGAGTCCAACTGTGCCTTGGTCTCGCGGATCTGCTTATCGAGTGCGGTTGCTGACTCTCGGACTTTGCCACGAAGATCGTCGATTTCCTTGTTGAGAAGTTCCCTTTCGTGCTCCCACTCGGTGTTGATTTCCCTAGATCCATGCCGGGAGTGATCGGGGCCCTTCCGCTGAAACTCTTCGAGCTCGAGTTGAAGACGTGCATTTTGAGCTTTGTTCTTGGCCAGCTCATCCTTCATGCGTTTGAGTAACTTTTCGGTACCCTTGACATAGTGGACAGCCGACTGGTAGTCATTCTCGAGCTGCTCGAGTTTCTCGCGGAAGTGCTTCTCGACTTCCTGGGCCTGCATTTCCGCCGTTGATTTCGTCTCACGGTGCGCACGGAGGCTTTCTTCAAGTCTGAGTTCCAATTCTCGCAGGCGGTTCTGTTCAGGTGTAGCGGAGCCAGATTGGGGACTGGGGCTGAGGATGGCAGATCGTCGCTTCTCGAAACCAACTTGAGTAGAGCGTTCCGCAAGAATGTCCTTAAGCGCAGCATGCTTGGCTGAAATCGAATCGACTTCAAGCTGCCTTTCAACTAATCTCGCCTGGATTTCTGCATTATCCTGTTTAAGTTTCCTAACTTCGTCAAGAGATTCTGCCATTCGCCTTCTAAGGGCGATGGCATCCTTACTAGCCTGGCCCTGTTGAAATTCCAGACCAGCAACCCTCTGCATAGCTTGGGCGAGTTTTTCACCGGTGTCGTCGGCTTGATCTTTACTTTTCTTGAGAAGAGATTTCGCAGATTCAACCTGTTCTTGCAAGGCCTTTACTCTTTCATCTGTGAGTGCAGTATTGGTCATGATTTCCCTATCCGCAACTTTCTGTAATCCTGCTGCCAAAGCTGCGTTAGCTGCCCGAGCCTCCTCCGCGTACTTCTCCATTAGCTCCTCCACATCTCTTAATCTGGTATTGGCATTTTCTAGATCTGCTGCCTTCTCCTCATATTCACTCTTGACCTGCGCCAGTTTCCTCTCAAGCCCTTCCTTGACAAGTCTTTCCTCCTCCAACTGCCTTGATAATGTCGCGGTCCTACTTGCTGTCGCATCCATTGCGTTCCGCATCTCATCCATGGAGTTGTGATAGTTATTGTTGTCCTCCAAAGCTTCTTGGAGCTTCATTGAGAGTTCGTCTTGGTCAATCCTCAACAATTTGGCATCGGCCGTGGCATCAGCTCCTGCAGCAGCCTCGTCTCGGAATGCTCGTTCGGCATCTAATAATTCAGCCCGAAGACTCTCCATCTCTGAAGCAGCGCGATTGCGGAAATCATCCAACTCAGAAACACGACTTTGTGCAACCCCAGCGGTCTCATCAGCCAAATGGCGGGCTTTCCTTTCAGCTGAAATTTCAGCCTTTAAAACCTCGACCTTTGCACTTAACTCTGCTTGAGCTGCCAATGATGCAGCTAACTTCCGGCTCATATCTGTCATTTTCTCCGCGTCCATATTGGCCATATCTGCAGATCGATCACCTGGTGTAGGGGTTGAGTTACCGCCCAATGCTGCCAATTTTGCTTTAGCATAAACTGCTTCCTGTACAGCAACATCACGCTGCCGTTCCACCTCTTGTATCTTTCTTGCAGCCTGGGCAGCTTGCTCATCAACCGAGCCCTGAACCTTCTGAAGTTCACCCTTGAGGATTAACATAGCCTCAACGAACGGCCGTTCCTCTTCAAGCAGCGAATCGGCACCCCGCTCTTCTAAAATAGCATTGTTGCCTGTTTGGATTGTGTAACCCGCTCGCCTCGCCAAAGCTAGCTCCGAAGCATACCATTCATTCATATGCTTCAATTTTTGGAACTCCCTCAACATGTCCCCTTCGCCTGAACTACTTCCCTTGCTCCCCCGGGACCTCTGCTCTTTCGGTTGCTCTTTCGGCTTTTCCTGGATAGGAGTCGCATCTTGAGGTCGCATCGTTGGCTCCGGGCTAATGAGGCTGGCATTTGGTGTCTGGCCATTTGTGAGTCCCTTTGGCTTGTACCATTGAATTGATTGGCTGGGTCGTTGCAGATGAAGTGGGTGAATGATTGCTGTCTGTAGTGCCATTTAAGTTAGGATTAGGACCCTGCTGTCTAGATCCAGAGCGCTCCCTGCCTGCGACAACAGTATCTTGACCAGAAGCTTTCCTTTGGGCGGTGGGATTCCTCGTCCCGTTAGCTGCCGTTGGTGACGGTCGTTCCTGGACAGGTGAGGTAACATCCCTCGTCTTCGGCAATGTTCCATTTCCGGTTGGTGTTCTACTCCTCTGTCCAGGTAGAGCAGATCCGTTTGTTCGAGGTGGAGGCGCTTGTTGATTTGGTGGAGGACCGGCCGGTGTTCCCTGAGCAACCCTAGGGAGTCGAGAAGTTACACTTCCCCCAGAGGTATTGTTACTGGTTAATGGGTTTGGGCCGTTTGGAGGGGTTGACTGAGTTGGGCCCGCCGTCACACTTTCCCTAGTCCCCGTTCCCCCATTCTTTCTTGACGTTTGGGCCCCGGGGCTGTCAACTGATCCGTTCCTAGCACCAGCTCCTTGCAACCGCTTGTTTTCATTGCTTCCTGTAGGGCTGGTAGATGATTGGTTCTGATGGTCATTGGGGTATCTGATTTTTGCGGTATCAAGAATATATATCAATTGCAACTCTTCTTGATTCCTAGTCGGCACACTAGGCTCTCCACCAAGAACAATAATTTTCTGTCCACAGGTAGTCATCGAGTGCCCTGATCGCCTTGAAGGCGATGGCCCCATATTTTGGAACGTGTACCACCTCCTAGAAGATATCCGGAACGCTGCCAAGTCGCCCAGGTCATCGCCCTCTGATGTCCGTCCTCCGAAGATATACATAACATCACCAACTAGCGATGCCGCATGCCCTTCTCGCGGTGAGGGTATATACCCGATACAGTCAAGCTGTGTCCACTGGTTCGTTTGCGGATCATATGACCAGACATCGTTGAACCAGACTAGACCGTTCGTACCTCCAAATCTGCGATGTTTCTCTTGTTAGTTCACTGAATATGCGCAAAATTATGATGATGGATTAGGCTCAGCATACAGGTAAAGTTTGTCCATCCAAGTAACTACGGTGTGATTGGTTCTGCTTGCAGGGACATCCTGATTTTTTTCATTTGCTGAAATTAACTCCTCCCATCTTGCATTGTTGCTTTGAAGGGTATTTAGATCAAATGCGACCAGGTCGTTGAAGAAGAAGCCATCTACTTGTCCTCCGAAGATGTACAATTTCGAACCCAGGATATTTATTGTGTGGCCGTATCTTCCGGCAGGTCGAGCTCCATGAGTATTGGCACGGGACCATTGACGAGTAGCTGGGCGAATTCAGGTCAATAATTAAAACATGTAAAGGTTAGGAGTGGGGTCTCACATGTGTTTAAAAGGTATAGAGTCTCATCGAGAACATCCGCAGGGTCCAATTTTGTGTCACCACCAAAAACTTCCCCCACATTAGCGAGTTTCCCTTATTTGTAGGTGAGAATAAACAAACCGATGAACGCATTGCCCACTAGTAAACTCGCATGACCAACTCTTGGCCCAGGTCCTTCACTGGTGGTAACAACCGGGTAAGCCGCCAACTGACTTCCTCCCCCTTCAATCATCCATAAATCGCCCCGGACGGTCTGTGACCGAATCAATCCTCCCATAATATAGACATCGCCATCCTTTCCTGCAACCCCATTTGCGGCGTGACCGTACCGGGGGAAGGGCGAAGGATGTGAAGATGAGAGTGTCAGTCGCCGTTGCGACCAAGGGTAGAGCGCTGAGTTGGCAGGATTGACTTGAGACGGTGGAGCCTGAGACTTCTACAAATCAGTTTAGAGGGCAAGCTCCCGATAAAGTTATCGGGATACGATGAAGAGAGCCCGGGATAGAGTAAGCCATACCTGTACCGGCGCAGCCCCTTGCTGCTGCTGTGAGCTAGTCATACCAATGTCCTTTCCGGACATCTGTTGCAGCGGGCCCATTGATCGCGGTACCGAGTTCATAGGAGAAGAATTATTCGGGGGGCTTGCAGCCGCTGGCCGTTGATCCTGTTGAGATGCTGAAGTCGCGCCTGAGCCGTTGTGGAGACTGTTTAGAGTGCCGACAGAGCTTGAAGGTGTCTGTCCTGACGTACCAGATCCTGTTGTTGCTGTAGGGCCTGGGGGTGTTCCTTCACGATGACCATGCGCCCCCTTCTTCTTTCCGAAAAGAAATGCCATGGTCTAGTAGTGCTAGGAGCGTGATTGGTGTTCCCGCGCCCCAGCTCTGTCCGGCGTTGCGGGGGAGAGCAGCGAGCGAGCGGTGATGATGCAGAATATGAGAGTTTTCGTGTTGTAAATGAAGTAGCGCGTGTATGTATATTACTTGGGGTGGTGAGAAGGTTTTAGAGTGAGTGAGTGATCCAGTCCCCTGTTCTATCTTTCTTGTTTTCTTTTTTCTCGTTGGCTCAGCTCGTGTTCGTTCGTTCAGGCTACTCGGTGGCCCGAATAAATCAGATCTGGATTATGGGTCGATTATAGATCTCAGGGTGGTATCCCAGTGGTCAGTAGATGTGGAGGTGGGTGGTAGGTGGTGGTGGTGCTCAGGGTGGTTGTGGTGGCGGGTGCAGAAGCAGTGTTAGGTGCAGGAAGGCCTCTCCCGTAGAATCCAAAAGGGACAAATTCGTCTTCAGGCGTACATAGAATAAAATTCGAAGTTACAATTTCCTCTTCTCCCTTCCCTTCTTTTTCTTTTTCTGTTTTTCCTTTCAGTGAGGACTAGTTATTCCTTGAATGGGGGGGAAAGGACACACGGACCGTATGGGACGTTCCGGTCGAGGACAAAAATTGAATGGGATATTACTACTTATGTAGGGGTATCTTTAATCGTCTGGGTCATGAAGGAAAGGAGGGTTGAGGGGGAGATGGGACGGGTTTGAGAAACGAGGCAACCACAGCAACAGTAGAGAGAGAAAAAAGAAAGAGAGGAAAGAGATGGCGATAGATATTGCGGCGTGCAGGGAAAGAAACAATCCAAAAAGACACAGTAGCACAGGAAACACCCCAGTTTTTGTCTCGTGAGAAAAGAGAGGGTGCGTGAGATCTCGAGAAGGAGAGATCTTGTCGGCTGTGTTGTAGAGAGAGAATTGATATTAATTGTTTACCCTTTGTTTTGTCCCTTCTCTCAGAGAGATCCTTCAAGATATGATAGTGGACATTGATGTTTTTGGTCTAATTCGCCGTTTTGATCCTTTCCCTTCTTGATACCCCCCAGTCCCTTTGTGCCTTCGTCGTTTCAGTTGGGACCTCACAGGTGCCGGGGTATGTGTATCTACTACACTTTGATGTTCACAGAGAAAAAGGGGGTGATGGGTTGGTTTCCCTCCTAATGCTCATCCGCCCCCTGCAAACACGCATCACCCTGTAATCGAACGAACCGATGTTCACCGACTACATAGGCAAGAAACATTTAAAACGACGTCACATTCGAATTGGTTCACTCTTCCAGAGTTCTTCGCTGCGCGTGAATGTTGGTGCAGGTATGTAGGCACCTGTACCTAGAGGTGTAGGTACCTACATTGTGGTCACTGGCGCTGCCGCTGTGAGAAATACCTACATGGCCGAGCCTCCATCCGATGATCTCTGGGGAACCGCCGCCTATGTATGTGTCTACTCTAGGTATCGGCAGTCACCTCGTATCTGCCAGTACTCCACCCTACATGTACGTACATGTAGGTACGACACTGATACTTCCTAGGTACATGTATTTAAAGAAGACTACGGAGCCCATGCCAGGTACCTGGCAAGAGAAATATCACCATAAATACAGCTGACATCAGCCATGGATGTCAATGATATGCGTTCATCGACCTCTGCATTAATTGTCATTGATGGCAAAGGGATAAGCGGTACTCTCTCACTTGCAGAATAAAGCTTAAGGCTTTATTCTGGATCTACATTCCTCACTACCTTGAAGTATTCTTCCTTTCGGGAAGAAAACATTCCTTCCTAGAAGATCTTTCCCAGTATGGGGTATTTGAACTCGTATCACAACTAACGTACCTACCTGTACATGTAGTTAGCCCTCGTACTTATATGTACATTTAATTGCCTTAGACCTACTCTAGATAAATATTCATTTATGAAAGAAGACCTCAGTACCTTTATTGAACGTTAAGATTCTAACAATTTGCTTCCTAACGCAAAACAGTCTGGGCACGAGACTAGATGCTCGAAGTGTTGAGTTACTGTATTCATAACCCTCGGCAGAGAAGAGAGCGTGACGACTGATTGCCGATAACTACTATCGATCGATGTTGAGTAAACAATCTATCTGACATTTACGGCGAAGCACCGGTTCCCAAAATAGCCTGAAAGTAGGTAATCTAGAGTGAGATGGCGGGGCTCAAGGAAGGACCGCGTGGAAGTAGAAGTTCGTTCGTCTCCCTTTTCATCGGTACGAACCGCCGTCATTTCCGTTGTTTATCTGTAACTGGGGTCCTAGGCGCATTGATCACTCAATGTCATTCGGTCCCACGAGGGAAGGAAGAAAGAGTGATTGATCATGGTGCCGTTTTTGCGCAATTGGTTAGTGATGAACAGGGAAGCGCACCATGAGGATGGACTTGCTATCTACACGTAGCAGGATAATAATCTCAATGGCATGTGCATGATCCAAGGGAAGACTGGTCCATAGAGCTGGGGGAGGTAGTAAATACCGATCACGAGATTAAATAATCACTAAAATATTTACCGATTCCGATCTAGACTTTCGGAATGGATAAACCCCTACAAAAACAAATCCACGCTCTCTAGATATCTAGGTCTTGTAGTTGTAGTTGCGACAATTCTCTGCGGCTCTTTCGAAGGTTCGCATAGAGACGAAGGGATAAGCGCAGGTTGGAGCTTAGCGCGAAAAATGAAAAAAATTGCCCACCTCGTTTTCTGAGGGGAACAACCCCACCAACATTACCTCAACCCCTCCAAGTATCATCACTACCATTACCACTACCACTACCCCCGCAATCTACCCATTATACGAGGCCCTCTCGTCGAAGGTTACCTGTAATCCTCTGAATTGCGTTTAAACATTCCAACTAGTTCGTTATTCGTCATGTCCGCACCTACTTCTCCTCCTCCGGAGAGCACCGAGGTCGACTCAAAGACTGTCATTGGTATCGCCTTCGGAAACACAACAAGTTCGATAGCATACACCACTCCAGTTCGTTAAGATCCTGATTTTGATATATGTATCGAGAATTCGATTCTGATGAGTGCATGTACATATAGGACGGAAAGGCTGAGGTTATTGCAAACGAAGAAGGAGGTATGTTCTTATTTTTATTGCTTCTGTATCAACGGATATGCATATAATGGGATAGATGAATTGGTGCTGATTAGGAGGGGAGTTTAGATAGGCAGATTCCCTCAGTGCTGTCTTACGTCGGATCGGAAGAATATCACGGTACACAGGCAAAGTCACATTTGGTCAGGAACGCAAATAACACTGTCGCTTACTTCCGTGATTTTCTCGGAAAGAGGTAATATTATAACCCATCGATTTGAAGATTTCAATTCGCTCTTGTGGCATCAAATCATATACTGATGCTGTTTTCTCCAGCTTCGCCGATATCGACCCCACAAATAGCCACAACTCGGCACATCCCGCGGACATTGATGGAACCCCATCTTTCAATCTTCAACAGAGCGACGATGAGACTACCACAGTTGTCAGCATTTCTGAGATTGCTAGACGCCACCTCGTTCGCCTAAAGGACTCTGCATCAGACTTCCTTGGATCCAAGGTCACTGGCTGCGTTATCACTGTTCCCACTGACTTCTCCGAGGCCCAACGGGAAGCACTCATTGCTGCTGCTAAGGCTGCAGAGCTAGAGGTATTGCAAATCATCCACGAGCCAGTTGCTGCTTGCCTTGCATACGATGCTAGGAGCAATGAAGTCCCAACCGACAAGACGATTTTGGTTGTAGATCTTGGTGGTACCCGGTGTGATGCGGCAGTTGTTTCGTCCAGAGGTGGAATGTACACAATCATTGCCACTGCCCACGACTACGAGCTTGGCGGTCTTCAGTTGGACAACGTTCTCGTAGATCACTTCGCAAAGGAGTTTTTGAAGAAGCACAAGATTGATCCCAGAGAGACTCCCCGCTCGCTAGCCAGGATGAAGCTCGAGGCTGAGGGAACAAAGAGGACTTTGTCTCTTGGTACATCTGCCACAATCTCCATCGAGTCTTTGGCTGGTGGCTACGATTTCCACTCCACAGTTAACAGGCTGAGGTACGAGCTGCTCTCAAAGAAGGTTTTCGATCAGATCGTCAAGCTTGCCGAAAACGTCGTCGCAAAGGCAGATCTTGATTTGTTAGATATCGATGAGGTACATCCCCGAAACCTTTTTTCCGAACAGGTAAAAGTGCTAATATCCAATAGGTCATCCTCTCCGGTGGTACCTCTCATACCCCTAAAATCGCATCTCGCCTCGCCCAGATCTTCCCTGAATCTACACCTATCAATGCCCCGGCGACCTCTGCCACAGCTCTCAACCCTTCTGAGCTTTCCGCACGTGGTGCCGCCATCCAGGCTTCCCTTGTTGCCGAATTCGACCATGAGGATATTGAGCAATCAACTCACCCCGCCGTCACCGTCGCTCCCCACCTTGCCAAGTCCATCGGTGTTTGCATCGATGGTGCTGAGGAGGCATTCCAAACTCTATTGGAGGCTCAGACCGCTGTTCCTGCACGCAGGACAGCCCAGTTCATCGCTCCCAATGGCGGTGATGTGGTCGTAAGGGTTTGCGAGGGTGTTCGCGAAATCGTGGTAATCAAGCCAGAGAAGAAGCCAAGCAACGGTGTTAAGGATGAGGATGAAGAAGATGACAGCGAAGAGGAGGAGGAAGAGGAGGAGGACATCAAGAACAGAGTTTTTAAGGTTGACCGTGTCATTGCTGAGGCTGGAATCAAGGATGTGAAGAAGGGCGCCAAGATCGAGGTTACAGTAAACGTAGCCGATGATCTAAGCCTTAATCTTGCGGCCAGGGTTGTAGGCGGACAGCAGACTGTTAGGGGAAGCGTGGAGGGGCCCGCGAAGGCAGAGTAGAAAAAGGGAGGTTGCGAAAAGATATGATAGATAAAGGGTGGGTGTTGGTAAAATCAAAAGCTTACATTTCCCAATACGTCTATCAGCCATTACTTAAAATATATCTCTTTTGTTCGATCCAAGTATTTGCAGCAATAAACGAAGTTTTTCACTAAAGGTGCAGCTTTTGGTTCTTGCTAGATGTATTTTGTAATGTTACAGAGTAGTCTGTGCATACATACAATACTAGATCAAAAACACTCTCTTCCAAATCATAGTGAAGGAAAAGGGAGAGCGTCGCTCCCACCCATTCTTAACTAGCCACAAATTTCGACCAAGCCTGGGAGGTGACTCCAACTAGCGCGGAAACCTCGGTCCCTCCGGACACCATATACGCATAATCGTTGAGCTACAATGGCAGATGATAGTAGGGGATTGTTTAATAAACATATGACCTACTTGCCATACCTGTTTTGGGGGCGCGCTCGGTGAACTGGGGTAGGATCCTTTCTGTGCATGTGTATTACACGGCTTCTGCACGTGGTGGGGCTTGTAGCAAAATACCGGCATACACAAGCAATACAAAAGCCTAATCGCGTAGGTTAGAGTTTTGTTCTAGAAGGTCTTCTCTAGACGAGGGTTAGCGGTGAGGTTCCCCAGGGTTAGACGATACTTTTCAGAAATGTTGTCTCAGAGAGGTGGCAACGAGTGATGGGGTGAGGTCGAGTGATGGGGTGAGATCGAGTGATGGAGGAGGGGCGAGTGATGTAACGTGATGCACCCCTTGATTGATTGATTGATAATTCATTAATTGTATGCAGCCCGGAGGTGATGCACCCCTTGCCCTCCGTAATGGTTCCTGAGTAAGCACATGCAGGGAAAGGAATAGGCACAGTTCTAAAGGACAAGGTAAAGTAATGTCAAGGCAAAAACATGAGCGTTTCTCCTACTATACATACTCCTTTCAAGTACCTATGTACATGTACATGTAGTTATATAGTCTTTCGAGCAAGCATCATGGGAGGTGACTCAGGCCAGCGACCTTTTGATCAGTCACCATAAGGTAGTAAGTCTCGGCCCCTCTAGCTACTCAACAGGAGATGTTGTCTAGGTAGGCTTGAAATAGGGGGCTATCTCAGTACGCAGTTCCATGATTTCATAAACTTCAATCACAGAACATCACTCGGTATGGCGAGTTATCAGAGTTCTTGGAACTATGGACGGGATTTGGTTGCTTTATTGACTACTATCCATCTGTTTCCACTATCTACTATCGACACCATACGTAGTGACTAATAGTGATTAATGGCGACAGCTATGTATTTGCTCCTAGGCTTAGAAGCCATATTTCAATAAGAGTTCATGGGGTTGACGCTAGGATCCGTGACAACGGATGGTGAGTACCAAAGGCCCGACTCTATTTAACGTTACAATCATCCTGTGATTTCTATGTGCCATGTCTCGAAGATATTACCGCAAAGGGTGTTGGATATCTGGCTTTTCAGATGATAGCGTCAAAGTATATTACCGTGTCCGAACACATTATGTCGGTACTCCGCCCTGTATGATCTGTGGCTATATACATAGCTACAAGTAGATACCTGACTCCCGACCATGTCCGTTAATCAATTACTTTCAACAATTGGCGCTTTATCGCTTTATTCCTGCGAGTGAGAGTTTATGATTCCTTTGATACTGCATACTCCAATACATGCGGGTAATACATCTCATCTACCACCACCGCATATCACCGCCAGGTAGAGGCCTCATGTTTTAAGATGTATTAAGAGAGGTTTTAAGCGGGTAGCTACACTATCTGCCACCGCTAGACATACAACCCACGCCCAACAGCATCTATCCCACTACAGAAATCGATACCGAAGTATACACATAAAAAGAGACATTTCCGTGTTATAATATATACACACCGCGATACCGAAATCTCACTATAAATCTCATCAAGTTGTTTCGTTACAGTCATTAAATAAAAACAAAAACAACTAACTACATGTACTAACACGGCAAGCTTATATAATTATCCCGCTGCCTATTATAAACATAATATAATGCATAACCTAATAATTCCCAGCCTTCAAGCTAACAAGTGGCGGTGTTCCCGTCGTAGGAGGGTTAGACCACCGGGTCTCAACGAATGTCTTCATGATTCCATACTCCTTCTTGTCAAAAGCGTTGTACAGCTCCTTGAACTCGTCGATCTTGAAGCGATGGGTGAGGATGAACGTGGGGTCAAAGACACCTTCTTCGATCTTCTTCAAGAGGTCATGCCAGTACATGTGGACGGGGCACTAAAAACTAACGTCAGCCCACCTATAATTATAACAGAAGAGAGCAAGCAAATAAATAGTTACCTGTCCAGCACCCTGCATTGTAATACCCTTCTCCATCAACGCACCAATGTTGAACCCGTTCGTGTACGCAGCATAATCCGCAATCAATGAGATGGTTCCAAACTTCCTCGTGGCCCTCAAGCACTCGTTCAGTACCTCGCTCGAGTCAGTCTCCATTCCGACCGCTCGCTGCACCTTGTGCACAATCCCCTTCGCGTATCTGAACCCAGCAGCATCGATACTGCAGTCGACACCGTGCTCCTCCCTCTTTAAGATCTCACCAACCACATCGGGTGTCTCATCAAAGTTAATAGTCTCGATGCCCAACTTTGCCCTAGCGAGCTCCAAACGTTCCGGAACATTGTCGATACCAATAATGCGGCGGGCGCCCTCAAGCTGCGACCAGCGGGCGGCGAGGAGCCCAATGGGGCCAAGACCCCAAATGGCAACGGAGGAGCCACCTTTGACACCGGCGCACTTGACGGAGTGATAGGAGGTGGGGACGATGTCGGAGAGGTAAAGGGCCTTCTCGTCGGGGACGCTATCCGGGATTTTGAGGAGATTGTTGTCGCCGAAGGGAACGCGGACGTATTCAGCTTGACCGCCGGCGAAGCCTCCTGCAAAATGAGAGTATCCGAAAACGCCGGCAAAGGTCTGGCCGTACATAGTTTCTTGGACAGAGGATTTATTGGTAGTGTCACACATGGAAGAGAGACCTTCTTTACACATTTTGCATTCGCCACAGCTGGGGGGTGTTAGTTTTCGATTAAAGATTTTCTCCCTTTCGGAGAGGATCTCAACTTACGCAATCTGGAAACTGGCGACTACTCGGTCTCCCTTCTTCAACTTTGTGATCTCAGGACCAACTTCGTCCACCACTCCCATAAACTCGTGGCCCAAGATATCACCATCCTTCAATTCGATAATCCTACAGATTCCTCAAGTTAGCGCTGAAATGCTACTGAAACTGCGAGGAATAATACATACTCTTTGTGGTAAAGGTGCAGGTCACTTCCACAGATTGTTGTTCCAGTAACTTTGATAACAACATCCTTGGGGTCTGTAACAGCGGGCACGGGCACGTCTTCAACGTCCACACTGTCCTTTCCGTGCCAGCGGAGAGCCTTCATTGTGGCACCATCGGGGCGGTGCTTGTATTCTGTTGATGTGGACACGGGCTTGGTGCCAATGGCCTTCTCCATAAGGTTTGCTCCAGCGTTCATTTTGAGTATATTTTAATAGTCGTAGGTAATAGTGTAAATTGGTTGTAAGTTGATTGCAATTGGATTTTCGGGCTTTTGAGGGTTTATTTATTCTCCATGCCTAGCTCGCTGATCCGCAAACAAAAATATCGACGTCATGGACATTCCGAAGTCGTTAACGCAACTTGAACGTCATGATGATTCTTTCCTCTAACAATGGATTAGTAAGGCCGGCCTTAGGATCCACCAGTGTCTTGTTCGGGGCCGCCATCGACGCAGATCACCGTTGTTTTGGGGGACACATCAAGGCAGAGCGACATGCTCTGTGTCAGAATTGGGAGTAATGTTGGCTTTGGTTGGCCGAGCTAGGCTTCTTGAGGTAACGGGCTTGGCATTGTTAGGTATTGGCACAACGCTTGACATGCATGTCAACCCACTTGATCGTTATTTCCACGACGGCCGTAGAGACCATTGTTAAGTCCGAGATTCAGCAATCTCGAGAAACTGGGACTCTCTACATTATTCGCAACAAAGATCGATGACATAGGACGGATGGATCCTGATCCCTCTGAAGTTAATTGAGCCATTTAAGCAAAATCAAGTGTTAATTGAACTTGTCTGGATGAGAAGACGCTGACAATGTAGCCCCATAGAAAGGACCTTCTCCAGCAACATCACCACCCCCCCTTTCTACGAGGATGGTTTATTCAATTGGCCTACAATCAGGTTGCCAACATTCTACAGGTCGAAGAGTGTCACATCTTAGAAGCTGCTAGCGTTAGAATGTAATCATTGACATCCCTAGAGACTCCAGACATACCTTTATTTCGGATTCGACATTCAACATGCAGCTGCTTCAGCATAAATATATCTTACACGAGTAAGGGGGTCTTAGTCTTGTCAAGAACTGGAAGAGGCTCCTTAATCATCAGCAGAAGAGAGATTGACTACATGTGAGATGCAGGGGACTGGCTATCGAAACAGCCTGAATGGAAGGTCCGATGCTAAAAAAAGACGGTTTTAAACCGTTATGAAACCCACAAAGCCACGCCAAGCTAAGCGGTGTGGCTTGCAGAAGTCCCCAGTCAGCCACACACCTACAAACGCTATGACCTTAGAAACAAACCAGCGTGAGGTCATCTACCAGCTAACTCCCCCAAACACTGCTGAGAAAATCTTATCCGACATCTATCTCAACATGATACTAGTAGAATGAGAATCTTGCCCTTCCAACCGCTCATGGATCCATCCACTGCCAGACAAGAAGGCGAAAGCTACAACCGTCTTGGATTGAGAGCTCAGATACTCCATATCAAACTGATGCCAATTACAACAGAGATTTCAATTTCAAGGCCCAGGTAATGCTTGTATGTAGTGCGATATTGCCAAAAGTGTACCCAACACAGCGCCTACTAAGAGCATAAGATTCCCTACTACAAAGTGGAGCTCAAGGACCTATGGAATGGAAGGGACAACTGTTTCAAGGAAATGTCATATCCTGCTCCTATCTGGATAACCACAGGTAAAGGCCCCCGCAGTAGTGGGAAGATCCTCGACCAAAACCTTAAAGATGAGCAAACCGAGCTCTGTGTAGCAATTGTGGTACTAGGTAAATGATACCGGTGACTCTACAGTCGAGTCTTATTTGTGGTGATTGGAAGGCGGGGCATGGGTGATACCACCGCTGATATCCTTCAATCTGCACACGTCAATAACTTGATGGCGTTGAAAGGATTAGAGTTGCAAAGCACCTTGGAGCTGGGAAGCATTATGTATGAATCCTCATGGACAGCGGAGATTTGATAGTTGGGTTAATTTAGTAATGGTCCCATTTTCTGTTTGCATCTACTTATCGACCCACTCATCTATGGAACCATAAAACTGCTTCCTTGATAAATTATCTACCTTCAAGGTTTCTCCACTGCTTGAGAATGAAGATAACTCTAATAAATGGTACAATATCTACATCTAGTACACCCCCCGGGGCCGGTACACACCACCGACAGAGCCCAAGTAAACGCCATATCTCGTTCTTCTCATGAGTACTTATCCGCTTTATCGGCTCCTCAGTAGCGAATCAACCTCCAACGCCAGCGCTGGCTGCATAAGCTTTGCCGTACCATCCACAAAATGCAAGTACATCATCAGGCACCTGCCTCTCCGACGGCGTCCCTAACACCACGACCGCATGGTGCGCGCGCAAGTTCACGGATGACACCTCACGGAAGTGAGTAGCCGACAGCCTGAAGGTTGTCGAAGTCGTGCACAATATATTGTACCACTTTGGAGTGCATGTGAAGCACTCCTTGGGCATGCTACATACGTACGGAAGCTTCCCGTGGTAGACTTGGCTTTCATTATCAGTCGAATTATGCAAGTGGCCATGTGGCAGTTTGGCAGCGGGGAGGGTGAGGGGTATGAGTCAGTGCTTGTGATCTTGCAACGGTGCTTTTTTAGAGATTTAAAACGAGGTTCTCTTTTCACTTGTTGAGTTTGTATGCGCCAGGAGTAGATGGTACTGTAGTGTTCCTTTGTTTGTTTTAGAAATTGATGGACGAGTCCAATGCAGATGTCACTTATAGAATCATCACAGAGGACCATGTAATCGAAAGGCTCTTGAAAACTTCATTGACCTCGACACTCATTAAGTCGGCAGATGTGTTGCCAGACTCTATCGAGACCGGTGTCGAGGCGCACTGATGCAGGTTCAAATTAGCATTAGTTAATTGGCCAGTATAAAGAGCACTGTAGGACTCATCAAGTATCCTAAAGACCAGTAACCCGGGCCAGGGATTTGATTGCCCCTTGCGATTATGGATGGCTACAGTGCTGAGTTTAAACCAAAGCAACAGAACTGCCTGGAAGGTTCAAAAAAAAAGTTCAATAAACTTTTGAGCAAAGCTTGTGCATGATGACTGGTGGTGGAAGTAGAGTAGCGCTTGGTTAAGTATGCAAGGCACTCAACAAAATCGGCTAGACATGTATGCTTCTGTAGCCCTGTGGATAAAAACACAAGTTTGCACCGGGGTCGAGATGCAACAGCAGGACCTCGGACCTGGTAAGGCGACGAGGATGATTTGCGCGATATTCGTCTCCGACGGGAAAAACCATGCAGCTAGAAAGAGAAAGAAAAAACACATCCTCGTTCCTGAGCTGAGTGCATTGGCGGACGAACACATGGCTAGGTACCGTTGCGCCTAGTGTAGGTAAATACCACGAGGTCCAGAAGATCTCGCGAATCACAGCGGACGGGAGGGAGGGAGCAAGGTACTGGAGAGCGAGGGGGCTAACACAATCACAATCGCACCCGGATAAGAAAACCTCTGTCTCTATTCCGCGGGGGGATATGGGAGTGCCGTGAGGCGCAAGCCATTTTGGTGATGGGATGGAGGGGCATCGCGATTTGCCTCCATCTTCACTGAAGAATTTTATCTTTTCCTTTCGCCTTCACGGATCGAACCGCAGAGAAGAGCTTACTGGATTCGATTTAGAGTGAGATATTACATGTGTACCTACATGTATATGTAGTTTCTTTAGAGCTGATATCGATAGCTGTGCATAGGTTGCCCGGGGCGAGGGAGAAAAAACAAAGGTTGTTTTCAAGTAGATACCTTCTTTCTCGGAGAGGATGGTACATCCTTTTGTCTCTTCTGTGCTTCTGTTGCAATTAATCATTGACAGGGTGATTAATAACCTACCAACAGACTTGCAGGGTAGAGTACGAAAGGTGCGAACGAGCTGGCAGATGACGTGTTAAAACAACAAGCTCAAACGAGCACGATTTTCATGGACATGCCGATTGTAACCCTACATATGCTCACCAGCTTGCAATAATGCCAGGCCGAAGTAAATATTAATAACCTTGGTGTTTCCCTTATCCCTATCATGAGCAACGGCCAGTGCACGTGCATAGAGGTACATACATGGTAATCATGTGTGCAATGTACATAGATACCGAAAGCCAATCGATAAAAAACGGTTCAAACGGTATGTAGTACCAATCGCATAATAATGGGGGTGATATTTCGAGTCCAGAATCTCAGAGTAAACTTCAAGAACTTGACCGGAATTGAGTTGCTCAGAACGAGGATGATCCCATTGATTTGGTCTGGTCCTTGTCCTGGTTCCTTATATAGTAGATACCTGATTGATACGATGTCTTCCACGGTGTTCTTCAGAGAGTCCTACACACCAAGTATCCTCCAAAGGGTTTCTAGGTAATGTTCCAGAGTGGAGTGTCTTCCCAAGTGAAATATACTCCGATTCTAGCTCTGGAATCCACGTTATTGTCAGATCTGCAGACAGCACTCCGCAGGCTCAAAGCCAAAACAGGAGATTTCAAAATACTCAGAGGCACAAACAACAGATAAGGCCTATTTTAATATACCCTGTTTTTTTGCCCTCCATGGATTCTCTTCCAATTACCAAAACCCTCATGGGTTTTTTACCCTATGTGTGTTTATTTTCATGCCTTATCAAGAACAAGGTGACTTTTTCCTGCATCGAACGAGATGCACATACCGAAAACACGTACCAATCTTGCTTGCTGGATACGAATCAGCCGGACTCTCCCTCCTTCTTTCTATTTTCCTTTCTCTCTGGAAAGCTGGACGAACGAGATATTGCAATTTCCCAGCCTCGCCGGTTAAGAGATGTGTATGCAAACGAAGCGACCGCAACGTGCCGCATAAACTTCTTACTTGATTCTACAGCCACCAGCCATCTCGTTCTTGATATTATAACTCTGAAGGTGGTCCAATCAGGCGCATAATTTACTCTGCCTCTGCCTCTGCCAGTCTGGAAGTCTGGAAGTCTGGTGGTCTGCCTGTCCCCCACCCCCGCGGCCAGTCAGGCTGAGCTCTCGCAAAAGTGTCGAAATTTAGAACCGCCCAAAAGGGTTGATTCAGTAATACTCGTGTTGTCTTACATTACACATGGAGCAGGTACTACCAAACTGTACCTGGACCAAGCTCATGATGATCCTATCCTACCTTCTGTTCTGGTTCCTGTTCCTGCGTCCACCCTACTCTACTTCTACCAGGGAAAAGGGAAAAATCTCGGCAAATATTATTCAGGAACAGGAACAAGGATATTTGTATGAGTTACGGTAGACCGTTTTCTTTCCTGTGTGCCTGAGCCTGTGTGTGATTGAAATTTTTTTTCTTTGCGTCATCCCTGCAGGCACCGAAATTTTGACGCAAGGAGGTGGGAGGGGAGGTGGGAGGGGAGGGGTGGATGGGGCCGGGGTGTGCGTCGCTTTGGGTCAGGTACCACCCAGGAACCGCTGTTGCTCCTGTCGCGCGCTATTGGAGGAGGGAGGCAGCGAGTAGTGAGGAAAATTGAATTGGAGCCAATGTGAGAGGAGAATGGGCGTGAGAAAAACAACAAGACAATGCATGAGGGCTTGAGGGCTGGAGAATGTCTATTCGTCTCTGGGGATTGCGATTCGTTCTGCGTAAAGTATCACCTGCCATAACTACTGTCTGCTGTTTAATTTTCTTTTCGAGTGATGGATGGGGATGGATGGATGGGCTACTCCAGTTGGTGTTCGAAATCTAAAGCTCAATCTTATACCTCGCCCAGCTGGGTAACTGCAATAGTACTGGTAGTGACCAGCACACATCCCGACTGGCGGTAACCCCACGACAGGTTCATTTCTTTTTTGTAAGCAGCATAGAGTAACGAACTGACTAGCCCAGGGTCTGAGTAGAGTACTCTATGTGTAGAGAAGCGTGTAGAGAAGTGTGGTACCGGTACATACCTTGCGCCTACCCATTCCCCACGCCGTCGTTAGTTAGTTTGCATTCCCTCTCACTCGACAACTTTATAACCACCAAGGACCCCCCTTCCCGGGCCACGATCTTTTTTTTTCTTCCACCATTCTATAACTCAACATTCTCGCATTCCCTTCCATCTTTCAGCACACTCCTTTGCTGCCCTTCTATCCATCCTTTATCGTCACTCCTTCTTGCGATATAAAAATTTCTTGCTTCCTGTGTTTCAAGTCTATTCATAAACAAGGTCCATTTGCAGCAGTACACTTGAAACTCCAAAACACTCACACACACATATTTCTACGAAACTTGAAACCACACGTGCAGTACACACGGGAATTCCTCGCATCTTTAAATACCAACCAACTTCCTCCTGGCTTGAAAAATTTAAAAGCCAATCAACACACATTCTCTGTCACTGTCACTATTTTCAGCAAGCATCTACTGCGGAATTGAATTTTGCAATATACACAACAGTCCTTATCGTCAGATCATAAACCGTCCTTTCTTCGCACGAATCTCGTATTCACCACTAGTAGTCTTCACTACCAAATATCTACAAATCTACAGCTTTCAAAACTCTCAAAACTTTCACAATGCACTCCACCACCCTCATCTCCTTCCTTCTCCTCCTCCTCACCCCCCTCTTCGCCATCGCCCAAGACACCATCATCGGGCCCACCACCACCGCCCCCGCAGCCGGCGCTGAATCCACCTCCTTCTCCAGCACCACCACCGTACGCACAACTGTCACCTCCACACAAGTCACCTTCATCACCATGACCGGCGTCCCCCCGTCCTCAAGCACGTCAGTTGCCATTTCCTCTTCCTCCTCTTCCACTTCCTCCCCTGTTGCGGATGCCACTGCAACGATTTCTAAACCCTCTGTTAGCGCTACTGGTAACGGTACTGCCATTGCGACCGGGAGCCCCTCGGCTGTTCCATTTGTGGGTGCTGCGCCTGGCGCGTTCAGGGCGTCGGCGGGGATGGGCGCTGTGGTTATTGCGGCCGCCGTATGGCTGTTGTAGATGGGAGTGGGAATAGCTGTCTAAACCAAGTATTGGTGACAGCGTGTGGGGAGGATTATATGTTCTTGGAGAGATGGCAACCTAGTGTTGTGATACTTTTACTTCTACTTCTTGCGCTGCTGTTTGGTATTCATTCTTTTTAACCAACTGGTGGCAGTAACTATTATACCTTCTTTTTACTATTATTACTTGACTTTCTTTCTTTTTTTTTTTGGCCGTCGACCACGTTGACGCATTTGAAGCCTTATTTTGTCTTTTTTGATACCCACTTTTTATATATACGATACACCTTCTTGTAGAAAACGGTTTGGAGTTTTTATTACTTTTCACGAATTTGGATGACTGGGGATGGGGTTGGAACCGGATTGGTGTTTTGGGCGGCTTCTTTTTTAGGCTAGTTCTTAGTTACTAGTAGTTAGCGGAATATTAGCCGTTGTTGAACTGAACTGAACTGAACTAAGATTGGTTGTTGTGAGTGAGTGAGTGCTGGTGACTGGCGACGGAGTGATGGATGATAATACATACTCAAAACCCAACAAGTAATGCTCATATAGAAACCCAAACAGAACTCCCCATATGTCCGCCTAAAGACCACTTACCATGGAATGGATCGAACAAGACCGCACCTCGATCCGCACCTACCACCAATCCCCAAACCCACCCACCACTCACGGTCCACCCTAACTAAACGCATCATCTCGCTTCTCCCCAAGGCGAAATTAAACTCACCTCGCCATGCACCCCACCTCTCTCCACACTCTACCTACGTAGCTATAGGACCCTGAGTTAGTTATCGCCTTCGGAAATGATACCGACACCTAGCGAAATTACACATCGACACAATCCCACACGTGCGCTCCCTCACCCCCTATGTAACCAGGCGAGATGCTCAATATTGCGTAATCTTACTTTTCGTTTCACGACATCTAACTCCCAGGAGTAGCTAAGACCAGAGTAATACTAAGACTATGTAAAAGCTAATTCTTGAGAGAAAGGAGTCGAGCGCTCCGGGGAAAAACAAAAGACACCTAGTAGCTGAGTCTATGATTAATTAAGAGAACCAACTTCTCGGGCTCAGTCCAGTCCGGTCCGGGCAGGTGCTAGTATGTAGTTGAACCACGACAAGATCAACACAAGAGGCAACTCTCTCCGAAATTGGTCTCATGTCTGAAGTCTGAAGTCTCAAGTCTGGAGTCGAGTTGTCTCGTCTCCTCTCGTCTCGGTAAATTTAAACATCAAGCAAGTAAGCAAGCCACAGATTGCGCGCGCTAAGACAATGTTAGGCTGCAGGCAGGATCTTACTCACTCTGCTTATCTAGAGTAGGGGGGCGTCATGTCATGCTGCAGGTGAGATGGGGATCATCTTCTCGGCTGATTTGGATTTAGGTTTTAGAGCCTCAAGTGTAATTTGGAGAGAGGAGTGGATTACAGATATAAAATCCACCATACAAAGTGCTAGCTAGCTACAGTAGTTACTACACTGAAGCTTGGAAAGAAAACGCCATTATGCGCAATTGCTATTCTACAGCAGGATTACTTCCATGACTTCACTTCACCTAATCCCACCACACTCACTGCAAAAAGGCCTATCATAGGCTTAAAAAACTATATATGTAAAGAAAGAAAGAAAAGCCATCTTCTACCCAATTACGCCCCATTCACGATCCCCACCCCCGTATGCACCTCCGCCCCCATCCCGCCATCATCACCCCCCTCCACCTCCTCCTCATCACTCGCCCTCCAGTCCGTCACACCACCCCTATAATCCGCGACCCTCGCCCATCCAATTCTCACCACCACAACCCTCACCTCCTCACCCTCTAGATAGCACCTATCCCCGCTCTGCGGATTATTCTCCATGTGTACGCGGCGATAGTACTCTTCCTCCTCGGATCCCTGCGGGATCAGGTGTGCATAGCCATTCAACGTCGCCGAGATCGAGCTCAGCGCCGCGGAATTCAGGTTCGTCAGGAACGCCGATAATGACGACGGCTGGGGTGGCTGTTCGGCGGCGGCGGTAGGAAACGCGTGGGTGGTGAGTGTGGGCGAGGTCGAGAATGGGTTCGTGGAGGATATTGATGGGCGGTGAGAGACCCAGTCGTGGACGAGGAGGGAGACGCGGGGGTTCGTGGTGAGGTTGAGCGTCTTTTTGGTGCCCGGGTGGGTGGTCATTACGATGACGGGGCCGGATGTGGAGGTGCTGGAGCGGATGTTGTTTGGGGGGAGGCGGTAGGGGGTGGTGGGGAGGTAGGTGTAGTTCATTAGGGAGACCTGCGGGGAGATTTATTAGTATCTGGAAGCTGGAATGAGTTGAGGGAGTGCGGGGTGGAGCTTACGTGGGGCCAGAGGCCGTCAGAGGTGGCGAGATGGAGCTGTAGATGATATATTAGCCCAGCCCCATACCTGTGAATAGCTACAGAAAGCCAGCAGAATAAACCCCAGTGCCATAGCCAGAGCAAACGCATAAAGGTAGGAAGGGAAACCCACATATCTCGCATTCTTCAAACACGCAACAACCTCGGGCGGAAGCTCGCACGACGCCGCACTTGCATTCGGAATTGCTGTAGCCATGGTTTTGATGGAGAAATGGTTTTTATCGTGAGCTCTTCGCTGTGATATTTAAGCAAAATGGACAACCTCCTTGAATTGGTTGGTGTTGACTGCCTGACTGTCTGAGATGGAGATATGTCGAGGACCGATGGCGTATGTGACGACAAAGGCCGAAGATCGGATGTGCTGGGCTTAGGTGTTATGCTGGGCCCCGCTAAACTCGTGACCTGCGGTTCTTGGCGCGCTTGGAACCACGGTTTGCAGGGTTTTGGAGAGAGCTCACGACTTAGGGGGATATGAATCTATTTATGTACTAGCTGTGTAGGGAGAGGGGAATTGAGCAAATTCAGAGGGAGTGGAGATGATAGATGGTTCTGTGGAGTTAGAGTATGTAGTCTGTCTGTCTGTCTGTCTGTCTGTCTGGTGAAGGGCATCGGGATAGCTGTGGTGTATGCAGAATAGCTATCATATCTGCCCTTGTGACCCGCCCGTATCAGTTATCAGGTTTGATATATACGGTTACTCTGTACCCGCACGACTGCACTCTTCTCTCCGCACGCGGTGCACAGGCGCATACATTGGGTAATGCCCTAACAGTGTCACCACAGCATGCACAACAGCTCCTTAGCAGCTACCACAAAGGCAACAACATTCCCATAGCAGCTGGCTCAGTACGCACACTCAATTCAGAGCTACGATTCCCTTCTAGATACAGCTCACGGGTTTGCGCTGCCGCTCAATCGGCTGTGAGAACATTCACAGGACATCACTCGACCCCACGTTGATGTAATGCCAAGCCTGCGGCTGACCAACAGCTACCTCTTTACCCCCCGCCGCACGTGAGGGGGAAAGCGCTTCCCCGCAAAGCCTCGATTTCCTTGGAACGGACGGGAGAGCAAGCAAGGAAGCAGGAGCCAGGCAAGGAGGCAAACAGGCAGTCAAGCACAGTCCACACAGCCAGTCAAGCAATCATGTAACGCATGTAACGCATGTATGTATGTAGGTCACATTCAGGTACAACGGTGGCCTGTTTGGTACCAAGTAAGAGTTATGCCTCACCTTCTTCTTCCCCTTCCCCTCCCACTCCTCCCCCTCCTCATCTTCCCCCGCATCCCCATCTTCCCCCTTCTCAGTAATTGTCCCTGAACTTCACTCCTACTCCTCATCCACTCAGAGCTACAGTCACTACTCCATAGCTTTGTAGTATCAGCGTCTCCACCACCATCAATCACTCGTAAACCCACATCCCCACCCCCACCATGATACTATCACGCCAGCTTCCCCGCTCCCTCACGCGGACAAGCATCACCGCCGCCGTCACTCGCCCCCTCACCACCTCCGCCCTGCTGCAATCCACAAAGATCCCCACCCTCGCCAGCATAACCCACAGCGAAGAGTCCACCACCGACTTCAAAACACGAGTGTCCGCCTTCCGCAAGCAGCTCCGCGCCAACAAGAAGAATGCCGAGTCCCAGACGCTCGCCTCCGCCGGCGCCGCCGACGGCGACCACCACCACCACGAGAAGAGCGGCATCGTAAAGAGCATCCTGTATGGGTCTGAGCAGGGGCAGAAAGAGGAGCGTGAGATGGAGCAGAGCTATGGAAAGGTGCTCGCGAGGGGGAAGTATGTGCATGCCATCGAGTTCCACCGTGTGAAGCCGGACAAGGTGGCAGAGTACATTGAGCTGGTGGGACAGGAGTATCCGAAGGTTGCGGGGGAGAGAGAGAATAGCTGCCATTTGGTGGGCAGCTGGAAGACGGAGATTGGGGATTGTGAGACGTTTGGTTAGTGGTTCACCGTGAAGCTATTATCTAGAGTCAATTGCATTATACTAACATTATTTCGCAATAGTCCATATCTGGGAATATCAAGGATGTGAGTATATTACTTCAATTCACTGTTATATTCTACATTTTCATTCCCACACTGTCACCTATCTATATACCACAACCAAGAGAGGCTGGGTGGTGTGCAATATAACCATAACCCCCCCCCCCCCCCCCCCCCAAAGAATCCCCAAATTCCTTTGAAGTTCTAAATAGCTACTTTACTGCAATACTGCTTCTCCATAACTCAAAAAACTAACACCCCCTAGACGCCGGATACCACCAAACCCACTCCCGCCTCTCCCACTCCCCCTCCTGGGAAAAGTTCCAACGCGAGCTCCCCAAGTACCTCACCTCCCGCCGCACCGACCTCATGCAGGAGTTCTCCTTCTGGCCCACCACGCCCCCGCGCGCCCTCGGCGGTATCTTCGAGCTCCGCACCTACACCCTTCGGCCCGGCAACCTCCTCGAATGGGAGACACACTGGCGGCGCGGGCTGCAGGCGCGCAAGAACGTAATGGAGGGCGTCGGTGCTTGGTTCTGCCAGGTCGGCAGCCTCAACACGGTGCACCACTTGTGGCAGTTTGCAGATTTGCGGGAGCGCCAGGTGGGGAGGGAGCAGAGCTGGAATGAGAGGGGTTGGAGCGACACGGTGCATAAGACGGTGCCGCTGATTAGTAAGATGGAGAGTAGAATCTTGGTTCCGTTGCCGTGGAGTCCGGTTAGTTAGGTTGAAAGCAATAGAGCTGTAGATTGGGATGGCTTTCAGTAGACGGCGGGATGTGGCTTTGTTTCTCTCTTTATCTGTTTGTTGGTAGTTATGGCAATCTTGCAGGAATTGGGTAAGTTCTTTTTTACTGAGTAGCTAGAGGTGTATAGCTAGCTAGCTAGTTGCCCGGTGCTTGGGTCTGAATTACATATCATGCTCGTTGGAGTTATCTTGTTACAAACTAAATTCCTCATATGGGCATTATCTACAATTAACTGGTGCTACTTATTATTCACGTGGATTGGCAAAGAAAAGTAGTATTGCTTAATAGTAGCTATCTAGAACTCTAAAGAAACTGAATCATGACCTTGATACAAGTTACCACAAACCACACAGCCAACCCACTACCAAGAAGCCTCCCCTCAAGAGTACACATGATATTTCCTAGCCGCCAACCTTGTCTAACAGCCTGTGCAAATCCCCAAAATCAAGCCCACATTGCTTTGAACTTTTCATCAAACGTGGCTTTCAGCAGCTGGAATGCCCTCAAGACTCTGACTAGCTCCATATCCCTCTTCCTCAGATTCATCGTTTCAAATCTATCCACATAATCCTCGTCCCCCGAGTCGTCACTACTATCTCCCTCGAGATTCATATCAGAGGACCTTTTTTTGACCACGAAATCCTCAACGTCACCCAAGCCAGCGGCATCAGCAGCGTCGTCATCGTCCACGCAAGCTATAAAGTTGCTGAGGCTGGTGATGATGGTATCAAGGACAAGACTGAAATCGTTGAGCATAAACCAGATGTCACTACGTCGAACGGCGTTCTTTCTAATGAGTGTTATAATCTCTCCGTGGCGGTAAAAGTCGAGAAGGTACGAGTTGAGAGGAGTCATTTCGCTGGTATCCAAGTAAGGCACAGCTGCACTTTCAAGGAATATTCCGGTGCGGACAGAGTCTGCTAGGTCGGATATAGAGGTGAATTTATCATCTGCACCCGAGAGAGCAACAAAAGAAGACCTGGCTAGTGTGGGTGGAAGTGGCTGTATTGGAGTTGGTCCTTCGGCGCCGCCGCATACAGAATGACTGAACGGCAATATATTGTCAGCGGTATCATTGCAGTACTCCGCTGCAAAAGTTTTGACATAAGTCGTATAGACCTCGAGGGTCATTTTGTTGTGCTTTTCCAGGATTTCAGTGGCAGTAGGGGGAAGAGGGGATAATCTTGGGATCTTCGGATCGGGACATGGCTGTCGACAAAACAAACACGCCAATACGTGCATCAATTCCATGCATGTTTTGTGTGGCTTTTCTGATATTTCAGCACACAAAGAGTGGAAAAACCCAGACTTAAGTAGAGCATGAAAAGCAAAACCGCTGTGCTCTGTATAATACAGGTGGCCTGTAAGCCTTGAGAAATTGATCGGCTCACCACCAGGCCCTAGCAGCCTCTGCCTACGGAGGAATTCAATGGAAAATCGAACGTGATGAAGAACCTGCCCTCTAAAAGTATCCCCGCCTATAAACAACCTTGGCTGCGATAGTAGTGCATTGATAGACTTCTTGGCATGTTCTGAGCCATTGGATTCATGTAGAAGGGTAAAGAGGCGAAGGATTAAAGATGTTGTCATTGGGAAATGCCCAATCAAGGAAGGGAGCCTTGAACTGATGAGCCGGCGAATTTTGCCCAACGGGATTCCAAGAAATATGACGTTTCCTAAATCGTCGAAACCACGTCTTCCAGCTCTTCCAGCTGACTGGCGGAATTCAAGAGCAGTCAACCACATACTGTCACCTCCAAAAATGACAGTCTTACATGGCATGTTTATTCCGAGCGAGAGGGTTCCTAAAGGCGATTAGATCCTCTTCATAAAAAATAGTAACTATACGCCAAAATTTACCAGTAGCAATGACAACACGTAAAAAGCCTTTTCGGAAAAGTATCTCAACCCTGTAATATTGGATATTATTAGTAAGGTTATTCAGGTAATAAAAGAAGGAATGATTGGCCTACAGTTGGCGATAATGACCTAATTTCAAGAGATGCCGTCAGTAGATATTCAGGTCAATGTATAAACATCAAAAGAGTGAATTCTTACGATTGAGTCCAGAGTGATGGATACCGATTCCACGCTTTAAGGCATTCAATGCCCTGTTTGGCAATATAAACTTGGAAAGGAACTCGCACTCTTTCATTAACTCTTTACGGCTATGTTTACTATAGTCTGCAAATGAGAATTGAGGAGATGGGATATTTGGGTTGAAGAACTCAAAGAAACTCGGTTCTTTTGCTGTCTCTTCTTGGAGTTTTTCTGCTTTGGAGCCCTCAAAGTTCCTGGCATCATTTTTAGCTCTTTTCTTCAAAAAGGAGTTATTCTTGGCTTCCTTGTACTCCTCCCATTTGCGCAGGGTCTCCTTCCATCCGGGGTCGCTCTCTCGCCACTTTAATTCGGCAGAAGCTAGCTCTTCTGCAACATGACTGCAAAGTTTCTCGCATATGGATCGGTCATGGGAGAATATAATTGCGGGAAGAGCGCCTTTTTTGTTAAGTTCTTCAAGGAGAGGAAGGGTGGATCTGCGAAGGACCGGTAAATTACTGGCCGCTTCTATGGCCTCCTCCAAAGATTGTTTACCCCCTTCAGTTGGATAACTATTCATCCATCCATTATCCCTTCGGAGGACCTCGCTCAAAGGACCCATCAACTTTTGAACAACGCCCTGAAAGGGTGAGCCAGATGAGTCCATCCAATGTCTAAGAACAGTCTTAAGTTCGACCTCCCAATTTATTACATTAACTTTGTGTATTATGGGGAACTTTGCGAAATATAATTCTGGATCAAGTCTTCGCTCCAAGGGATATTTTTTAGTTGACCTTTCTTTCATGGCCCGATATAACCATAAACAATCTCTCGGCTCCAGAGCGAGGTCATCCGGCATACCACGGGAGATATCTACCAGAGAAGAAACCGGATGTATCGGAACAAAGCTGGATGAACTTTCAAGTCTTGGGAACTTGCCTTCTGTGACCAGACCAGAAAACTCGTAATCCTTTGGCATGACGTAAACCATTTTCCGTAGATCAGAATACCGGTGTTGATGTTGCACCATTTTCAATTTGATACCAAGAGGCTTTTGTGTGGATTCCATCCATTTGGCGAACTCTTCTGGATTGCCTACTGTTGCTGACAAGGCGATGATGGGGCATGGTGATAACATGATCAGCTGCTCCCAAACAGCACCATCCTCCACTTGGCCGATACAGTGGATCTCGTCAAAAATAATACGCTTTACACGTCGGGACCACGAATTTGCATTAATCGGTGCAAGAAGCATGATTTGTAGTATGTGAGGTACGGTGACGAGAATTTGGCATCCGGTGGAGTTACCAACACGCCTGTCTCGGGTATGAATTGCCCAAACGGACTTGCCAGCGTGCGGATATCGTTTTTGAAAACGTGCCAAAACCTCTGCTGCAACTTGATTGACCTATAACCTTAATATTAATTTACGAACGAGAGAGAGTGATGGTTCATGATTGAAAAAGGGAAAAATTCACCAGAGCTTTGTTCGGTGCGACATAAACCAGAACATCGTCATCTCCAGATCGTAGAATCTATTGATATGATTAGAATCAGACTAACGTGATATTAAGACACTGGGAGCGCCAACCTTCTCCATGGCGTAAAAGGAGATGAACGTCTTTCCAGCAGAGGTTGGTGCAACGACAAATACAGAGTTGTTTTGATCAATCTCATCCAAAACCTTTCTTTGCCATCCATCAGGTTCGAAGGAAACCCTAGGATCTGGCTTTGAATCCATATCTCGATCCATATACTGCCCGCAATGCAACAGTTGAAACTCCGTGGAGGTCATCTGAAGCCTAATGTCTACCAGAGAATTTCCATTCCAAGGCATCTTAAATGTTAGATGGCTTTCTAACAATGGATCTGATATCAACCGAGGCGGCAGCGATACGCCCAAAGACTCAAAGAGATTATTCAGTATCTTGTGGATCTCTTTCGTCAGGCCCTTTGAGCCCAGTAAACTTTTGGCTTCACTGAAGACCTTCGCTATAACATCGTATCCATCCTCTCTTTTATCTTCTCGGCAGTAGTGCGTCCAAAATCGCAGTAATATCCAGACTTTGTATATCCGAACTTCGCAGTCCACAATATCGCCTTTCTCTGACAAGGTGGAGTTGATTCTGTCCAAGAATTGCTCTAGCTGCGAAATTTTTGCAAGATCATCTGTGATCTCCTGGATATCACCACATAATGTTTTCCATATTCGCAAAAGAGTGAGGTCGCCCTTACCAACGAGCTTTCTGTTATTTTCAGCACGGATAATCTCTTTCTTGCTTAACGGTCGTTCCTTTTTCCCGGCCTTCTGCGTAGTCTTTACCGCTGGGGTAGGTTTGGTGTTTGGCTGCAAGCTTCGAGGACCGTTTGTAATAACAATAGGTTCCAGAATTTTTCCCTTCGCGCCAATAAGAGACGCGGCGTACTTCATCATATTAGAAGCATCCCGTTGTTCAGATCTCCTCGCTCTCCCAGCAAGCCATTTGTTGGCACTAGGCTTCCAAACTGGGACATTTCGGTTGGATTTAGTTATTATTCTGAGCTTCCGATTGTCCCTATCAGAAATTTCCTTCCTTAATTCGTTGACCTCTTGTAAAACAGCCGAAGAATCAATGTTCAGTTTTATCTGAGACAAAAAGATATCAAATGTTGGGTTTGAAAATGGCAGAACTTCCAGCTTTGTCTGATTCATTGACTTATTGATCTGTTTGTTCTTCGGCTTGTTCACCGGCTTCTTCTTCGGCTTCTTGGAAGAGGGCAGTAGAAGTGACTGCTCTTTAGGTTTAAACAGCCTGCTCAGTAAGATCGTATGTCCACACGACACCTCGATCGCTTTGGCCATGCGGGTAAAGTCAGATACAACAGCCTCTGGGATAGATTCAAGTTGAATATCGCCGTACTCCAATCCATGCTCCAATTTCGCGAGTAATCTCCCGTCGAAAAAATCGTGTATATTTCGGTTCTTAAGCTGAGAAGCAGCATGCACGTAATCTTTGTCGTCCAGGAGCTGGCAGGAAATAATAATCAATTCCCTGGTTTTTGATCTTATCTCGTTTGTTGGTGCAGGGGCAATATGTCTTTGAGGCAAAGACAAGTGGTTGAGGAGTGCAATGTGCAGCAAAAACGACGCTAGGTCTGAGTCCACTTCACTGGAATCTGTATTTACTCTTTTAAGTAGTGTAGATATTGAAGCCACGGCCATCAACTCTCGTTCTGTAAAAACTTGGTCGGTGCAGATTTCGGAGAATTTGTAGTCATAAGAAACACCGGAGTGTTCGCTGGCCAGCGATTCGTAGGCTATGTGCGATTGATCTGGTAGTTGCTTTATCATAATTCTGGGCCCACCCTGAACAATTGATATGAGAACCTGGGACAAAACATTTATTAACAACTGTGCAAATATATATATTGGGAGATATTATTACTTTGCTATCCCGAAACTCAGCTGTATTGATCCATGCAACATTATAATCAGCCATAATCATCCTCCAGACAAATCCCATCATGAGAAGCTTGACTTCTTTGTTTGTTTCCCCCTTACTGTCGTGACACATGACAAAATAAGGCCTGGCAGTCTCAAGATACTGCTCAAAATCGCCATGATATGGATCTCGGAATTGAAAAACCCGGAAACCTGTTTCCCCTGCTTCGATTTTGGCCCCAACCTCCTCCCTTTTCGAAGTATTTACGAGGTGCTGAATGATCGCCGAGCGTGCAAATAGGTACTTGTAGTTATTTTCTTTGCTCTTTGACTTCCCCTCGATAATGGAATTATACTTATTTTCTGTTCAATTGGAAAAATGTCAGCTTAAATAGTGATAAATCATAGCCATAGGTATGTCCGTAGTTATTAGTAATCTAGCGCGACAGACCTTCAAAGAAGACTAAGTGGAAATTACATCCCCGCTTCGTCAAGTTGAGTAGAAAAGATTCCACAACATAGACAAGATGCAGTAATTGAAACCTATCTAGTCATATGGATAATCGATTAGTGGAATTCGGGTATACGATGGGGGACGGATTCTTTTAGGTGGGAGTGTCAAATACCTTCCATATCTATCCTTTCATCACTTAAGGCCTGACGAAGAAGAGAGTCCCCTTCAACGATAAAAAGCTCCCTCCCTGCATAATCCCCAATCAGGTCTATACGTCGTGGGCATAAGTGTTTCTTCCACTCCCTAAGTATGCTATAAATTTTCACCATGGTGAAAGAATTGGCGCGCTCCTTTTGTACTTTGAGATGAAGATGTGGTGAGGGAGGAAGGGCTGGGAGCCCAAGTTATAGAAGCTTTTTTCCTTTAAACCAATTGCCCGGTGTAAGGGAATTAAGGCGTCAGTGTACGCCTGAAAAAGATGAAGAGAAAAGGTCTCCTGGGTCGCCTGTGTTGGCTCCTACAATGTTCTAAGTCACTTCCCACATAATCAGGCCGACCAACTTCGGCAGCAACCCTAACCCAGTATTTAATTAGCTACCAAACCTACCTTATGTGCACTTATTACCTTCCGGGCCAGTGCGGCGCCTGTAACCGCAAATTACATGTACTATTGGATCAAAGTTTATATCCATCCCCAATACCTCCAATGCCCACAGAATAAACCATGAAGTGGGAACATTGGCTGCTTCCTGAACTCTTCCGTATTATTTTTGATTTTCACTAGACTGCCATAATATCTACCACTCAATCGGTTAGGATGAATTTGCGTAGGTTGATCATGAGCGACAGGGATTTTGTATCAAAATCGAAGTCTGGCAGACGAGTCCCTCGACGAGCGAAAACTCACACTATGTAACAAAATACACTAAATGGAACTGCTCCCCAAAGATGGGAAAAGGTAAAGGTAGAGCCTAACTCGTCTTAAATTTCGCTAATCGTTAGATACATGTAGTTCAGGCAAACCCCCAGGTCTAGGGACACGTGCCATCAAAGGAGTCTTACCTACTCGGAATCTGAATTTGGTCTTGCTACGCCCATGCCTATATTATACTTGGATGCGTTATATCAGGCCGTTCCCGCTTTCGCTGGAACTTAAGTCATGAAGCGGTCTCAAGATTTAGGCTATACTCACATGAGGAGATTTATACAATTATTCGTCTCTTCACTGAACGAGTTCGTATCGAATGAGGAGAGCACCCATAAATGCTGAGGACCCTTGCAATGATCGGTAGTTTTGATACTGAGAGGTTGGCGACAATTGCCAATGTGCCATGCTACAATACCCCGATTTGGTCCCCGGTTCTGTACCTACATAATGGGCCCTGGTACTGCTTAGTAATCAAACCGAGTGTACCAGCATCTAAATCACATCTTGAGCCCAACAATCCTAAATACTCTAATAGTTGTATATATCGTGGTTAAACGATCGCGGACGTTCCAAATGACATCAGCGAATAAAACAATGATGCCAAGAAGCCTTACGCTGCTTTGTGACAAAGAAAACTACCGTATTAGCAAGGCTTGTCGGAATGCGAACCGGAACCCGACGGTATGGTGTTGATGCAGACCATAGGGCTTGATGATAAATAAACTCCACTCGCCCCATAGCTGCATGATTTCTGGGGTATGTACTCTACTGTAAGTTCATAGCGTTTCCGAACACGACCAATATTGCATGACATACAAAAAGGTGGATTTGGCGCTTTTTATATGGTATGCAATAGCAGTCGTGTTCGGAAATGTCATGAATTTACGAGTCTGTTAGTACATACATGTATATGGTGATATGAATGTCCATGGCTGTCGGGTAAGGGTGTTTTCCTTAAGGAGGGAGGGCCAGCTTGGATATGGATATCTGTATTTCTGGCATACGAATTCCCAGGTGAAGATTAAAGGAGCAGGGTTAGGGTTTAGCGCAAGATCTCCAGAGTCCAGAGGTTAGAAAGCTCAAGCCCTGCGACGACGGAAGCAGGCTTATCCACTCCCATGTACCTCTACTAGGCTCATGTGGCTGGGCACGAGACACACATTTCAGCAGGGCATTTCCGTAAAAAAGAAAATGAAAAATTCTCTTTGTTCGAAGAGCCACCATTCTTTACGGACTGTAAAGTGGACTGGTATCACAATTCCGATAGGATACATCATGATAAGAATACCCCCCGATGAACAACATCCCCCTCAATTGCAAAAAAATCCTTTACACAGCCGGTGACAGGCTCCACGGACCTTAAAAGCAAGCATAAAAAAATTCCTTCACAGTAGAAACTTTACCAATAGGTAGTTCCAAATGTCAACCATGAATCGCTGCCATAGTCGATGCTCAGCGACTTAACGATGGCGGTATGACCATCACGTCCCGATACGCATACGACATACCTATTCCTTACGCATTGGCATATAGGCCAAGCCTCATTTAAACCATACTCTACATAACCTGATTTCAGGGTAGGAGGTATTTAGAGTTAGAGTGTTTAGATGTGTTCACGTTTGATCTGAAGCTTGAATTGCATTGCAGATAGACAGCACTAGAGCACCTGGGGGGAGTTCAGCAGGCTTGCACACTTGCCCTAAAGCGGGGACAAGTCAAGAGACCTGTCATATTCCCACCACCAAGAATAGCAGTGTGAAACCCCCTTGTTCCTCCTGAAGAGTGTTGGGGTGTTAATCCATCAAGCAAAAAAGAATAATATATTAGACATCACATCCTCCTCCACCCCGCAGTCAGTCCGACAGCTTGAGCAGGTTGGGTTCATCACTACTGACCGACAGACTGACCGATGCATAACATATCCCAGAAAATACTTGAACAACAGCAGCAGGAGCAGAAAAACAGTAAAGTCATGGACTCCTCTCAGACTATCGCGGTCGACGAGACAATCGTGAGTAGTAACCACCGATCGCATCTCCATCAACAACAGCATACAGGCTGCTCTTTTGGTTATTATGAAGTTACACGGAATCTCACTTTATCAAATAATTGTGTTCTCTAGGAAGACTACTCAGACACTGAATCGTCCTATGGCTCGATGAGGTTTGATTTCTCCCTACTACATGGATATTCTTCTTGTACGACTGAAGGCAGCTGATTGGTGTATCTTGAACAATAGGAGCGAGTACTCGGCGAATTCGCTCAACTCTTCAATCTACGAGTGCGGTTTTCACCTTCTTTTTCCCTCTTTCTCTCCTTTGTTGTGTCAAAAGTGCCCAGTACCTCGCCCCCTTTCATGTCTGGAGTGCAACCACCAAACCCCACACAATCTGAGCTCCAAGCCAACTCAACGCTTGAATACCACACGAATCTCTAAGCCAAATGCTACACACAAGAAGAAAAATGGCAGAACTATCAAGAATCTAGGGTGGGAATGGTTCAGATATTCGCTTGGTTGGCATGGGGTGGTGTGGTTAGTGGTAGTGGCGAGTAGTTGGTTGGTTGCACTCCAGGTTTAGGGGTACCAGTTATTTTTGACCCCCCACGAGATAATACTGGTCAGTGAAACTGATGTTATCCCAAGCTACCGATATGAGAACGGACGTCGGTACCAAGCGCGGAAAGCAGGGTAGGAGCTTCCTGATCTAGATAAACTTGAGTAGACTGGATCAAGGACTGACGATTGTAATTGCGATAGAGAATACTTGCTTCCCAATGATGAAGTATTTCCTCCGATACCCCCCCCCCCCCCCCCAAACACATACACACATAGACAGCGGGCGGTTACGCCTATGAGTCCTTAGAAACCCAGCTAATAAAATGCTTCGATGATAAGGTTGAACAAGAAAGGCCAGTTTAGTTTCCTCTCAACTTTTGGCGTTGGAAAGCCTGCGATCCTGACTGGAATGGAGCAAAAAGGCTGGATATTATACACCACATATACCTTCTCGGTATTACTATTATTCCGGTGAAGAGAGAACGCTTTATGCGGGGGGGTTGCGCAATTGACACAACTCTATTTTCTATCTAGTATTGGACGACAAGTTAACCCTCGCACCAATCAACAATCCGGAACGAATTCTGGACATCGGGACCGGCACCGGCATTTGGGCGATTGATGCAGCAGAGTAAAAGCGCCCACATATTTCTATCACCGTGTTGCGAAACGCTCTAAACTTACGGGTTATAATAGGAGATACCCTTCGGCACAGGTAATTGGCACGGACCTGAGTGCTATTCAGCCATCTTGGTAGGAATAATTGAATCTGGGGTCAAGGAGTTGAGAAGCTTAGAAGGGCATATATACTAAGTCAATCCTACCAATAGGGTGCCGAACGTGGACTTTCATATCGACGATGCAGAGCTGGACTGGACGTACGAGAAGGACTCGTTCGACCTGGTCCATATCCGCCACTTGTCCGGAGGAATCAAGGACTGGAACCATGTCCTAAAACAGGCATTTGAGTGAGTCTCCCACTCTCTCACCAGAAAAGGCTTGAAAACATTGAGAGCTATTAACATTGTTACGCAGTGTATGTAAGCCTGGCGGCTGGGTCGAAGTGATCGACTATGAAATGGCTATCCACAGCGATGATGGGACAACCAACGATAAGTCGATGGCGCTTCACCGGTTCTATGATCTGGTCTCCGAAGCAGCGGCCAAAAATGGTTTGTCTAGTTGCCCCTTTTCTTCCCGAGTGGGAAAGCGTGGTTTTAACTCTGGTTCAGGTCGAGGTTTTTCGCTCGTCACAAAATTAATGCCAATACTGGAGGAGACGGGTTTCGTTAATGGTTCACACCAAAAATTCAAGGTTCCGCTTGGTACCTGGCCGGCCGACAAGAAGCAGAAGGAGATTGGTGCCTATGTATTGCTTTCTACGGAGAGCGGGTTCGAGGCATTTGGAATCGACTTGTTCACAAATGTTTTGGAGATGAGTCCGGACGAGTCTGCGACATTGATAAAAGATTGCATACTGCTTGCAAGGAGCCGGAATATTCACAGTTATTCTATGCAGTAAGGCCTCTTTTCTTCTCTATGGCGATATATATTAGCAACGACTAATATCAGATACAGTCATTTTTACTACGCGCAGAAGCCACTTGAATCTGTGGTGGCGGGTAGAACTTAATATTTTCATTTCTCCTCAATATTTCATTATCACAAGAACATGATGAGTTGAGTTGTTTCTGTCGCTCCTAATTGCATTCACATCACTAGAATCGACTGAAGCAGCTTTCTTTAACGAGTTTTTCCTTATTCTCCTTTAGTCAGGCCGGGAACATGTCCACCGCTTCAACATATATTCATCTATTCTTGCTACCCTTCTATACACCCGTCGTGTACCTTTTTAGTTGTGGTTAAAAACTCTTGATAAAAAAGTAAACCTCCATGGATATCGACCATAATGATAATTCACAACTCTTCTGATACATTTCTTGGCCATTCCAAATGCTCTAGATAAACAAACGAACATGCCTATCAGGTCGTGCCTGCTCCGAGAAAGGAAAGGAAGAAAACCAAGACCTTTTAACGCGAATCTTTCTCTTTCTCTCCTGTACCAAGCTCTTACTCTCACGTCACATGAACGCAAACATCCGCATTCGCCAAGTTCCTACATAGCTTACAAACTTCCTCCTCTCCTTCCAGCCGGAACAACACACCACGGAAGCCAAATACGGGAACTCCCGCCTGGTGTTGTTGAAATAAGAAGTGGCGAAGGCAACTACCGCGCAAGGGGGCAATTTCTAGCCCAGGAAGGAATAGGAAATTTGATCCCAGAGTGGCGGCGAGGGTGGGCTGGTGGTGGTGCGCATCGCTGGTTCAGGGTCCCTTTGCACTTGCCGTTCTTGGTAGTGATGGGTCCCGACAGTTACCGGAGTTGCAGATGCAATCAACCTTGATATTAGACATTTTAAGCCACCGTCCATTACAACAAAAAAAAGATCGGCGAAAAAAAAGATAATCCTCTACTAGCAATACGAGGTTGGTGTGATCAGGTTAATAGTGATGCTCTCACGGTTGTACTTTTGATACCATTACAGTGTCCTCTGTGAGCGGCGTAGAAAATATCAGACCTACTACCTCCGGCTAGTAGACGCTGATATTTTTATTTGCCCATCTTTTTTTTCTAGTGGTTTAAAAGGTCTATTTCGGACATGTAGAGTAAGCCCGAGACACCGCTTTCGTAAAAAACTGCTGTGCAGGATGTACTATAGAGTATTTAATAAGGTGGAGTGGGGTATATCATTTGATGCTGTGTGTGTTATATGTGCGATATCTTGGCGAGAATGTCAGTCATGATATATCACTCGGACGGTTGTCTGCTTGGCTGGGTTCCAGAAGGACAGATTACGTACTTAATGTAGATAGGACACGCAATTTGAGGGTTGATTGAAAAAAAAAACGCGCGTTGTTGGGAAGATGTGTATCGTGACTTTCTTGTTCTTGTTTTCGACTGGTGAATGACATGGTGTCTTGATTTTCTTTCTGATGTTTTTGCTGATCGATCGATTAATGGTTTGTTCATCTCGTACTACTGATAAATACATCTCAATGCTAATACAGTGGAGTTTTGATAGCAGAATCTGATCGAGAAAGTCACTCATGTGCTACTATCTTGTATCGAACTCAATTTATCCATACAAATTTATTCGGGATTGGCCAACGATATGCTACTATCGAGGCTCTATTGCGGTCACCAAAATACGGAATGTTAAAAAAAACTGACTACAGCCGTGTTAAACAAGTCTTGTCAGTAGATGACAACAGTCCCCCTCAACAACCATAATTCCAGAGGACTTGAAATTAAGGGTACAGGAAAATTAGGATACTATTCATTATATTCTAAAATCTTGAGAATTTGGAATGAATACTAAATGTGTAGCTTCCATGAAAAGTTTCGGCTGTAAATGGTGATTTGGACCCACATGCTCTACCCATAAAGTCTCAACAACAACAAGAGCATTCTCCAAAGTCTAAATGTCTATCTCGAGTCTGTGACCCTGGATACCCTTGATTTAATTGCAGAAATTCTCTGGCTAGTGCATGTGTAGCTATTCTCCTGGAAGTATTCAAATCGCAATATTCACTAGTCACCGTATCACAAAAGCAGAAATCCAGCAATAATTCTGTGGGTAGGAATACTTGTACTCTGGACATCTACAAGGCTTAATTATTTTGTTTTAATCAAATCCAATTGATGGTTGTTGAGTGGGAAGGATTTTAATATTTCGTGTGGTGCTGACTGCCAGGACTTTCTTAACACGACTGTACTAAAAGGAAATATAACTTAGAACGCTACATATTCACGAAAGATCGATCAAGAAGCGGGAAAGACAACTAATAAAAATATCATTTATTCAAAAGAAAAACGAAATTCGAGAGGCTAAAAAAACCGAAGAAACAAAAGACTAAAGGCCCGGCAGACCCATCTAATCCCCCAACTCCATCAGGTCTTCCGTCTCGACGTATTCAGGCCCTTCTGTGACCACTCCGACCATCTGTAGCACTCCTCCTACTTTTCCAAAGGTCACCGTGACCTCCTTTGGTCTCCCCAGGAACACATCGACCGTCGTATCTCCCTCCTGAACATACACCACAATCTGGGACACTCCAGAGCCCTCTGGGAAGATCTTTGCAATCGAGTTGCCGTTGGCGTCGACGGTCTCGTCGAGTTTAAACCTCGCCGTGCAGGCAGAGAGCTGTGCGATGAGGTTGTAGACGAGGCGGGAGGTGTAGAACCCGAGAGGGCCACCATCTTTGCGTTTGCGGCCATCTGCGAGGATGCGCGCAACACGAGCTTTCTCGTGGTTGATGTAGTTTTCGTTGGTCTCTGTGGCCAAGGCAGCTGTGAGGGAGGCAGAGGCAGGGTCTGCAGCTGGCGAGGAGAGGGAAAAGCTGGAAGCGTTGCTTGGAGCTGGCGAGGAGGCAGAGGCAGGGTCTTCACCTGGCGAGGAGAGGGAGGAGCTGGAAGCATTGCTTAGAACTGGTGAAGAGGCAGAGGGCGAAGAAAAAAAGGTGGGAGAAGCAGCAAAGTCGAACGGAGACGAAGGTTGATTGGAGATAGACGAGAGGCTGCTGGATGCCGCTGAGGAGGCAGCAGGAGAGGCAGCAGCTATTGGGGAGTTTGCCGCTTCAGGAGAGGCAATAGTACTAGGCAAAATGTTATACTTAGACTTAGCAGCGGCGGAAGCTGCAGAAATAGGAGAAGAAATTCCGGCGGCGGCAGAGATTGTGGAAGCAGCAGCAGAAAAGAAAGAGGATGTGCCAACAGGGCTGACTGGAGAAGATATTGCAGCGGCCACTAGAGACATCAAGGCCCCAACAGGAGACGAAGGGGCATCGCCGATTGTGGAAGGAGATTGCTCAGGAGATGAGAGAGGAGATGAGAGAGGTGATGAGGGAGGTGATGAGGGAGGTGATGAGGAGACTGAAAACTGTGGAGGGGTTGGATCTCTGGCCGGTGTTGGGACCTTGCGAGTGCGGCGACGGCGGGCAATTTTTCGTGATTTTTTGGTGGCGGTAGGGGATGCAGGGGGAGCAATGGACGCAGGAACAGAGCGTTTTGTTGCTCGAGAACGACGCGGGACGGCCTTTCTTGGGATGAAGGAAGGAGTATATCTTACTGGGGCTACTGACACCCTAGTGGAACGGCGGAGTGGGGGAGGGCCGGCAGCAACATGAGCAGAGGCAGAGGAAACGGGGACAGAAGAAAATCTAGACATTGTTGTGTCTAAAGGTGAGAATGTTAGTTGGTGATTTTCTTACTGACAGGCAGAATGGTAGAGTATAGGACGGGAATGTAGTATTGGGTAGGAAGGAGGGAAGGCAAAACAAAGAAAGAACACAGAGAGGGAACTTACGGAGGAGCAGCTATGTAGCTGGAGAGATTGTTGTTGGTGGTGGTGGTGGTGGTGGTTGGATGAAACAAGAAGACAGAAAAAATTTCCTACGGACCACAAATGTTAGAAAGGGCAAACAAATTAATTGTGAGAGCATTTACTTACAGTCTAGAGAGGAAGAAGTTACAAGAAAGAAGAAGCGGCAGCAGCGAGATTGAAACAGCAATAGAGAGAATTGTTGTGACGGATCGTTGTGATGCTTAGTGCTTCTGTTTTCTGCGGTGACGTTTGGAGAAAGAGGGAGAGGGAAGGTCGGTGGGAGAGGAAAGATATAGGTACAAAAACTGTGGGAGGAGCGCACCTGGGGCATCTTGGTAACGTTACCCAGCCCACCATGCTCTGCAAGTTTTGTTTGTGCACATCACATTACTTGGACCAGACGCCCATTCTATGGTCAGCCAGGGTCAATGATTACACGGCGGGTTTTTTTTTTAAGTCTGCGCCTGGTTGCCAGGTAGACGTGCGGAGCAAGCATTATTGGCCTCCATGGGTTGATAATGAGGTTGGGAAATACGAGATGACGCTTTTGAAACGATTTTCATAGGTATATGAAGTCTTTTTTTCTTTCTTCTTCTTGTTCATTTTTTTTTTTTTTTTTTTTTTTTTACTGATATTTTAAATATGATTATTTTATGGGGCCATGGAGAATCAACACCTTCCTGGAACCAACTCTGGAAACACAGCACTATTTGGCATATTGAACAACGGCAAAACTAATACCTATGATATTCACTTCTAGGAGTGTACATTATGATGTAGCATGAGAATGAGATTTGAATGCTACCATATTTTTCAATAAAACGAACATTCCCAGTCTCACATGCAATGGTTTTATGCTAATATAAACGTTATATTTATACCTAGCTTGGTACCTCAGAAACTGGCCTCGGCTGTCGGCCATACACAAGATGAAGTTTTTTTTTTTTAAGTCAGTACAAGGGCGTATTCAAGACAAATAATCAAATAGGGAATCTCTCATGAGGTCTAGCTTCCAGATAATAAAGTGTGTGTAGGTTAGCAGTACTACCTGTAGTTTCTCCCGTAGAGCACGTTTTTCAGAACACTTTTCTTTTTTTTTTTAAGATAATAAATATATATTGCGGTGTCTACCAGCAGTTACACCTATTCCTAAAACCAAATACCCCCAATCCAAGTAACCTTTATTTCCCTTATAAATACATTCGCTCGCTAACTCCGAGACTGTGTGTGTATTTATCCCAATCCCAATCGCATCCCATAACAAAAGAAAAGTTCCAAGGTGCAATGTCGTAATACTACTATTTCCCTATACCCTTTTTTTTTTTTCGTTTCTTAAAGAGCCAATCCCAATCTCATCAATGCCTACCAGTAGCGCCTCTTTCCATTCTCGCATTACCACCCCCACCCAGGTTCACGAACGGGGTCGTCAACCACGTCCTCGCTCTCTTCAACCCATACCCGCCTCCTTCCGGCGCCTCCAATGCCGCCTCTTCGTCCTTCTCCTCCTTGATGGACCTCGGTAGGCTTTCTGGGAACATCTTTTCGATATCGAAATTCATTGTGTTTGGACTAAGCGGGCATACTCTCGAGTGCCTCCGCGCAGCCATCGACATCCGCCGCTGGTCTAGGGTTACGGGATCGAATCCATTTTCCATGTGCACGGGATGGAGGTGTATTGCTGGTACCTCGGTTGTATCTTCAGGTGGGTCGGGGAGTTTCCAGCCGAAGCGTTTTCGGAGCTGTTCCGGGGTGCGGGTGATGACGATGTTCTTTAGTGTTTGGGTGAACATGCTGCGGCCTCGTGTGCGCAGCGCAACGAGGAGGACGGTTACGATGAGGAAGAGTGATACGGGTGCGCAGACTGCCCAGAAGCGGCGCTGGGTCCAGGTGGTATCGCGGATGTCTTGAACATTCATACCGAAATACTGGATTGGTTAGTGAGAGTCAAATTATGAGGGCATGGAGGGAGACAAACCGATGTGAAGAAGCTTAGAGGTAGAAACACTACTGTTACAGATGTAAAAACAGTCATCCGAACATCTTGTTTAACCTGCAGCTGCTGCTGTAACTTCTGCACTACTGCCTGCTGCCATGCCACATCCTCTAGTGTAAGTCCGGTATTCTCCTGCATTCGAGCCGTATTTATCATCATTTGATATTTAAGACGCTAAAGAAAGAAAAAAAATACGCAATTAGCTATCCATTTACTAAGAAATCAGAATAGTTGATAACTCACATCTTGCTTTGCGACCTGTAGGTACTTCAACCTGTTCACCATCGTTTCCACATCCGTCTGGAAAGTCTTCCGGCTTTTGATGACCTTATCGATTGCCTTGCGCATAATCTTGAATTGCCCTTCCTCGCTGCTATAGTCGAATTTCTTCAGACGGCGAAGGATCGTGACTTGAAGGTCTACAACCGTGACAATTGTTGATAACTCGGTCCGCATAGTGTATAAGATATCAATCAACCCTGCCAGCTCATCTACATTACCGCTCTGCATTGAATATTCCTGATATCACATTGAGCAGTTAGGCTTTTGCATATATCGACGGAGTTCAATGCAAAGAGACAAACCAGCTCAGATATCTCGTCACGGATATCGTCGAGAAGTGATAGCTCCCATGAAGGTAGTATGTTATCAATCATGTTAATGAGAGTATGATATGCCCCAAAGCTATGGTGGTGTGGGGATAGTGGTATGTGTTCTGGGTGATCATCATTCGCAGTTCTAAACGCCGCAATGGTCTCTGCATGGAGCAACTTCAGTCAGCAAGCTGCCACAGACCTCATAAAACAGAAAAATAATGTTGATAAACAGACCATTATCAAACACCATAAACCAGACCTGATGCACCACCATACAATTATCCCCAATCTTTGTCTGCGTCTTATCAAACAATGGCGTATTCAGCTTCCTTGGAAAGTTATACTCAAACAGACTCAAAGTCGAAACACTAGCCAGTTCTGTGTTGTCCGTAAGATGAAGAGCCGTCTGCTCCTCTCCCGGCAGAAGTGGGCGCTTTGACGCCTGTATTTTCTTCCGAAAGCTCACACGTGACATCTTCTCCAGTCCGAGGTATGGAATAGCGACAAAAAGCACAGTACCAGGGAGAAACGAACCCCTCTTTTTGCGGGGAGGGTTCTTGTTTCTGGGCATGTTAGGATGGTAGGAGACTCCAGCGAGGAATCGGGACATTGAAGCATTCCGGAGCTTTATCATTGCTACTTTAGGGTTGTTTATGAGCTTTTTCAGGGAAAGATTTGCCATTGCGTTGCGGATTTCATTTGTCTCCTTCTTTTGGCGGCCAGTGGGGTTTGGCTATATTCATCGGATTAGCAAGCCATACATCTAGGATTAATAGAGCTACAGTGATATTTGCTTACTGGGTAATCGATTGTCCTATTTCTCATGGTTTGCAGAAATTCCTGTTAACAAAACGTCAACATTGTCCCTCTATGGCCTCTAGAGATCCTTCTTTTTTTTTAAAAGACCAAATCCAGGATCTAGCCACATACTTCAGCATAGCAAGTTGTCGGGAATTCACTAAATCCCCATTATATCAATATCTAATCATCTGAACCCTCCAAAACTAGATCATGTTGAACTCACATTATCCTCAACTTCCCCGACGTTTCCGACCTCGGCCTCAACGGTATCTTATCAAAATCCATAACCAACCCCACCGGCGGCTCATCCTTACTCTCCCCTCTCTTTACCTTACACATATACTGCAACGGGATCGCAAAATACGTCGGCGCCGTCTTAGACCTCGGAAAATCGTCTTCAAATTCATCCTCATCGATATAGTCCCCCAATGACCTACCACCAACATTTCCAAACGCCCTTAACTTCTCCTCGTCAGGATCCTCCTCCTCGTCGTCCTCATCAGTGGAATCATTTGACCGCAGGTCCTGCGTGTAGAAGGTGACAAGAATCTCGCCAGGCCGGTCACTCATTGCCTCTGGGCCATAATCCCAGGCAGAACCGCGGCGGGCCTTGGGGGAGAGGGTGGGAAGCCTGACGTATTGGCTGAGCAGATCTCTCCGTTCTTCTGACCCCGATCTTGCTGCAGCTAGAGAGAAAAAAGGATGAGCTATTGGTTGCCGCTTTTTTATATAAAAGTGGGGGGAAGTAGATGGGCATGTTACTTACAATGCTTTTCCTTTACCGATGAAATGTACTTGTCAATCTCAGTATGGTCTTGATCGAGAATAGCTTTAACCTCTTCGTAATCCCACCGTAGATGCAAGCGATCCTGGTCCATCTTGCTGTTTTCCCTTTCGCGATGGTTTTATGCTTTTGTGAAAGACGGGGCCTGGTGACGGACGGACCGTTGATTGATTTTACCTGGTACACCTCCGTTCCTGCACTCCATATATATATACACCCCACCTATGGCTGCTCTAGACGTTGAGTGAACCCCTCAAATCCATGACGCTGCAAGCTGCCACATCAGTGCTGCCTGTGTGTCACATTAAGGATAAAAAAAATCCCATGAAATCCCTACCCACCTACTAGTGAACACGCTTTTAGACCGAGATATCTCTTTCTTAGTCGTCGGAAAGTTGGTGTTGCGCATGGCATTCGCGTAGTTTCTGTAAGCTAAGAGTATTGTATCAAAGACATGCACGTTGATAATCTCAGCCAGTCAGCAGCCTTGCTTGGCCCGGTGGAGCCAATGATACTCACGACATGCGGTCAAAAGTGCAGGGGACTGTCGAAACATCCGCGAATTGTAAATTAATCACTGTCGAAAGTAGTGCCGGTCGATGATACCGAGTTGCTCTCATAGGTTACTGACCTAGGTAGTTGGTCACATCTGCTCTCGTTCTTCTTGGGTAGCAAGGAATCGCGAGAAAGCATATGCGCATGGGCCATTGGTCTGCATAAGGTTGTAAAGTGCTCTATACGAATAGTAAGCATGCGCAGTGCAATCCTAGTGGGGTAAGTAGTACCATATCTACCTAGCTACCTACACCCACCAACCCAGGCAATGGATCGGCGGTCTGTACGTAGATCATGATGTGGTTGGTTTTGTTATGTTTGTTATCTGTGGTCTTGTGTTTACTTGACGTTTACTATTACTCGAGTAGAATAACATCTAAGTATATCGTCATGAGCTTGAGGAATCTCCTCATTCGAATTGACCTGTCTGATCCGGGCATTGAGTACTGGGTCAACTTCAACTTCATTCCCGGAGTAGGTAGGTACATACATATCGCCTTACCTCACGCACTCCCAGCTTCGATAACTTCGCACATTCCGAAACCCTTGTGGCTTCAATTAACATGACCTCATTGACCCTCCTTTCGCTCTGCGTGCAGTGATTATTAAGAGTAAACCACACCACTCTAGCACCCGCTACTACACTACGCGTATTCAGTCAATAATAAGGATTCACCCCGAGTAGTAGGGCCGGGTAGAGTAGGTACCTACTCAACTCTCCCTACCCACCTGCGTGCCTAGGCCTCAGGGTGGGGTAAAATAAGTTAGGTGGCAAAAAAGAAAGAATTGCATAAACTGCGGGACATGCAAGTGTCGGAATTAATTTTCCCCATGTCGAGGCTTCGATCGAATTCGAAACATGTATGGCCATGGCTGAATGGCAGATTTCCGATATGCCCGGATCGAATCTTGTATTGAGTCTTGACTTCCGGCTTGGTAACCGCTCTAGCTCTGTAACAAGCCAAGGGACTCTTTTGTGCTCTAGGATGATTGCGTACCCTTTCTCTGTCTCCTTGGGTACACACCTCTGCTCTCTACTCTAGAGTACCGGCGGGACTGTAGAATTGATACATCAAGCACTGAGGAGGGAACTTATTGGTCCGCCCCAACTAATCCAATTAGCGTACTATGTATGATGTGTTGTCTCATGCAATCGGAGACGTACCCCATCGCATTATTCTCTTCCAGATTCGCAGATCTGGGTTTTGTTTTTTCCTCCGCTTTTTCTCGCGGAAGTGGAAGATCGACAAGGGCCCAGACATAAGGTAGAGCACTTGTGGACAGATGTACCTACAGCGATGGGGAAAATTATTGTAGAAACAGGGGTCTAAAAACAGGGTTTAGGTGGCTGCCCTGGCCAATAGGACTCTTACCATACTTCTACAATAATTTTCCCCATCGCTGTACATCCGAACTGTCATGCTCTTCAGGCTAAACCCCAACTGGTTGACGCCACTAGTACCAATTCTCCCATCTCTTGATATCTAAAGAGAAGCTTTAGCCACTGTGCGTATGAGTATCGAAATCGTGGGTAGCTAGAGTATAGGGACTGGGTTTATAGTTGTGCAACCCAGAAGAAGAATGACCAATTCGACGCACCGCATTATGTTAACAGAGGGTCCATAATATAAATCCTAATGAGTCAATTGAGTACGAGGCGGTTGCCTGAGGAAGCTTTTGTTGCTCTCTTGGGAGATATATCTCCGAAACAAGGATGGGGAAACAAAACCAAAGAGGATGTAGCTTTTATATAATGAGGCCTGAAGTGGCCACTTGTACCTCGTGGTAAGTGTCTTACCACCTTGCTATAAGCAATTGGAGTCGACTCATTATTTGCAAGTGCTCTGTACCAGAAAAGGGTATCAAATCGGGATCCTAACCATTATACCGTAGTTATACTGTCGTACAGGACATGTGAATACGCACTGTCATCTACGTATACGTATACTACAACTATGGACTTATGGCGAGAAATAGACCTGTCCTCGTATAAAGCCAGAAACTCTAGCTAGTAGTCCTATTAATATCATCATCGTCTCTTCTTATCCAATAATTTATTCTTGCTACAAGCAATAGTTTGGCCATTGTAACACGCACTGCCTTACAGTACTGAATCCACCCGCCTTTTGGTGCTGTAGTACTATGCCGTTGGGGCCATACATGTAGCTATCGATATCGATTCCCATAAGCCGTCAGGTAAATACTGACCCCCAATAAAAAGCGGTTTTTCCTAACAGATCATCCCGTTAATTATCTCTCTTACCAAATAATAGATCCCCCATACAAATTCAATCCCTTTATTTATAGGAGGCCAGCAATTGACGGTTTAAGCTTAAGGGATGGTTCAGCAGCTAAATTCCACACTGTGCCTTATGTACTCGATACTTCAACTACACATTCTGTATTATCAAAAGCATTGACACAACTCTGCTAGCTACAGTTCTCTTCGCAACAGCTAGCAGTGATCATGATTAGTAGCTGCGACATAATGTTGAATCCCGATAACGTGTAGGTAACCAACTTCACGGTCATGGCCACCTATATACCAAGCCATGCCATGTACCAGCGGCCAGCAGAGTACAGCGGTAGGTAATAAGTGATGGAACGCCCTGAGGTACAGTTATACCTGCAAACACCGTATGTTGGTGGCGTTTTACCTAAAACAGGTATCACTGTGTCTCAGGGCGTTCCATCACTTATTACCTACCGCTGTACATATGTATATGTGCTTAAGCGCTGTCCCTTTCTCGATCATATGTGGATGTTGAGAGCTCCTGTGTCAAGATCTGCGAGAGCTGCATGGAACCGCGGCCCGGGAAGAGCACCGGCATGGCTTGATCTTCCGTTGGCGGGAGCTTGAGAACATCAGCCCATCCGTCCAGAGCAGAGCAGAGCAGAGGGGTGCTGTTCCGTGGAGCACGTGACCAGCGAAAGAACGCGTAAAAACATCGAGGCTCTACTACAATGACTGGCATGTGAAAGGACATTATTATAAAGTCTCGATTCCAGGAGCTAGTGTATATAGACCAGGCTTTCTTCCTTGTCCCTTGGATGCTCAGCTCGACCATCCGCGACGCCTGAGCACATACCACCAGCGCCAAGACAATCCCGGTATTTGACATTATCCCACAGCTAGGGGTGAATTCGAGAGCTGTTCTATGCAGGCAGAAGGGCGAAAGGAGAAATCCGGATGGCGCTAGTGCGAGATGCAGGAACTGTTGTGGTGGTGAAGACCTGCCTGGGGGGGTATTTTTCACTACTCTCCTTTGGCATGCTCCCGGTCAGAGTGCCTAGCTATTGGGGATTACTGATCTCTCGACACATACCCTATTAAAGCGGGAGGGGGAGCTCACTCAAGGTACCTCATCGGCTGCTTCTGCTTCCACATACTCTACATTACATGCTTCATCCTGACACACACACACAGCTCTAATTTCCAACGAGATAATACATGTATATAGTCGGTGTGTTGAAATTCCGACGATGTGCCGCTGTGCTGTCGTGTGCTCGCGCTCTCAACTGGGATGAGGCGCAGTGGAATAGGGTTGCTGTCCATGTGGGAATCACACCCCATCACTCAGCCCTAACCTCCGCCCAGTGTCTTGTCTTGTCTCCTATCTCCTATCTCCCTCCTTGACGAAGACTCACTCGCTCGCTCGTCTAAGCTAGCCGAAGTGTGCCTGTGCCTGTGCTTGTGCTTGCCCTCCCTCTTGCCCCTCCCCAAACAACGTGTCTCTCGTTCCCAGCCCAGCCCAGCCCAGCCCAGCCCAGCCCAGCCCAACCCCAACTAACTAAACTCAACCCGCTGCCAACCAAGTGTCTAGTGCAACACTAAGCGTCCCCGCCAAGGCGTCTCTCTCCCGCCAAAAACGAAAAAAAGAGCCCGCCCAACAACCCATTCTGTGGCCCGCCCCCCATAAAACTTTCCTCTCACCTCTCACCTCTCACCTCCCCCCTCACCACCACCACCACCATCACCACAACCACAACCACAACCACAACCAAACCACCAAACACCCACCATGCCATCACCACTCACCATGTCCACCACCACCACCACCATCACCACCACCACCACCACAAAGACCCGGGGCACCACAACCCCCCACCCCTCGAACCTCGACCAGTTCCTAGCAGCACCCACACCCTTCCTCGCCCGCGTGCTCTACAACAGCCTCCCCGCGCAGCGACGGCAACCCCCGGAGCAGCACGGGGAAGAGGCGTTAACGGTGGTGTGCGTGTCCGACACGCACGGGCAGATGCCACCGCTCCCCGCGGGGGATCTGCTGCTGCACTCGGGCGACCTCACGGCGTCGGGGACAATGGGCGAGCTCCAGGACGCGCTGCAGTGGATCGCCTCGCAGCCGCACCGCTACAAGGTCGTAATAGCGGGCAACCGGGAGCTCTGTCTCGACGAGGAGTCGCGGGGCCGCCCGCTCAGTATCTCCAACGGATCCGGAGCTCAGGATGAGAAGGCCTCCATCACCAGCAGCAGCACCACATCTACAACTACAACTACTACAACTACAACTGCCACAATAGACTGGGAGAAGCTCTCCGCCGCCGGCCTCGTCTACCTCCAAAACAGCAGCATAACCCTGCACTTCCCCGCGCCGCGCGACCGCTGCATCAAGATCTTCGGCTCGCCGCTCTCGCCGCGGCACAGCCCCCACGCCGCCTTCCAGTACGCGTCCGCCGAGGAGCAGCCCTGGCACGGCATGATCCCGCCCGACACCGACATTGTGCTCACCCACACGCCGCCGCAGTGCCACCTCGACAGCTGGCGGCGGCTCGGGTGCGGCGTGCTGCTGCGCGAGCTGTGGCGCGTGCGGCCGGCGCTGCACGTGTTTGGGCACGTGCACGCGGGGTACGGCGTCGAGGTTGTGCGCTGGGACGAGATGCAGCGGCTGTACGAGGGCGCGTGCGCGGGCGGCGGCGGGAGCGGTGGCAGCGCGTGGGCGCTCGTCCGGATGGCGGGCATGTTTGTCGTGTGCTGGGTGTCGTATGGGCTCTTTGGCGGGCGGTGGCGCTGGGGGGACGACCAGGGCGAGACGAGGATGGTGAATGCGTCGGCGAGTCGGGGGCGGGGAGGGGGAGGGGGAGGGGGGGAGGCGGGGGACTCGCTGCTGGTGAATGAGCCCATTGTGGTCCGGCTCTGACAGGCGGGCTGTGGAGTATTCTTCTTGTATCCTACTCCTCCTCCTCCTCCTCCTCCTCCTCGGTCCTGCCCGCGCATACCCAGCAGCCTTGCCCCCCCGGCTATTCTATTCTGCTCTGTTCTATACTCTGTTATTTGCTCCTATTTTGTATACAATACAGCCTGTACTGTGCTAGAGATCAATGGAACCCCCAATACAATAGACGCATTCCTGGGATGTGAGTGAGTGTCTGTGTGCGCGCGACCCGGGCGAGTGAGAATCTGAGATGCAGCGCCAAGAGGCGGCTCTGTGTGCATGTGGCCAAGCTTTGTGTGCGACAGGCATCCGAAGATCCAGTCCTCACTGCAGCTGGCAGCCAACATCAAACCACAGCCCATACATAGCACAAAGACTTAACAACTTCACCTCAATTCTCACCACTCCGCCCAGACCCGACCAGCCCCACCAATCGTCCCACAGATGCTGGCCACGCGCCACTCCCTCCGCCACTCCCTCCGCCTCCTCGCCCGCCTCCCCCCCCACCGCCTCCCCCCGCTACAAACACCCATCCCCACACTCACACTCACACTCGCCCTCGCCCGCGCCCGCGCCCGCACATTCGCCACCGCCTCCCCCCGGCCGCAAAAGCCCGACACCAAAGACAGCGAAGCCACACTTGAAGAGTACGTCCGCAGCGTGCGCACCGAATGGGGCAGCAACCTGCCCGAGAACCTCCTCACCGACGCCGAACTCGCCCTCTACGAGCGCCACTACGGCAAGCCCGTGCGGATGCTGCAGGCGGGCGAGAGCCCCTTCGACGACGACGACGCCGACGACGCCGAGCCCGCCGGCCTCGAGTCGGGCACACTGACGCTGCAAGGGCATGACGGCGAGGACCTCGAGATCTTCGAAGAAGAAGAGGGCGGAGAATCCGAGCTAGGCTTCATCCCCGTGCCCGTCACCAACGAGGCCGACGGCCGCAGCTTCCTGCAGCTCAAAGCCGACATGGAGCGCGCCTTTTCGCACCGGCACCACACCGCCGACGGCGACGACGACGACGCCGGGCTCGCGGCCTACTCCACGGGCGAGGAAGACGTGCCCGCGGGCGCAGGCGACGAGCACATCGAGCGCACGCACCCGCTGACGTCCATCGGGCGCTTCGCCACGCACCCGTCGACCATCCGCGTGCCGCCGTCCGTGCAGCAGCCGACGATGGAGTCGCTGTCGAGCGTGCCCAACAAGCACCTTGACGCGGCGGCGGCGCGCGTCTTTGGCAGCAGGCAGCTGCCGGACTCGCCGGTGTTTACGAACTCGGGCGGCAAGAGCCTGCGGAAGGTGCTGCTGGACGTGGAGGACACGCGCATGAGCGATATCGAGGCCGAGGTGTGGCTCGCCACGGTGCTGCCGGGCTATTACAGTCAGAGCTTGAGCGCGCTGACGGAGCTGCGGCGGCGGCTGGGCGGCGACTGGGCGCTGGGCGGGGGCAGCGGGGGCGGGGGCAGCGAGGGCGGCGTCAAGAGCATCCTCGATGTCGGCTCCGGGGGCGCCGCAACCCTCGCCTGGCGGAGCATCGTCGAAGCTGAGCAGACCCGCCGGCGCGACGAGGCCCTCGAGCGCTCTGGCGCGGAGCCCTCCACGCTGCCGCCGCCGCCGCCGCCCGAGCCCGACTTCAGCGCCATCAAGGCCACGGTCGTGACCGCGTCCGAGCCGCTGCGCTACCGCATGGCCAAGCACCTCAGCGACACGACGTTCATCCCGCGCATGCCCGACCGCAACCCGGACAACGTCTTCCACAGCCCGTCGCTCGCGCCCGGCGCCACGCTCGAGCCGAACCAGAAGCAGGTGCGCAAGACCTACGACCTCATCATCGCGACCCACAACATGCTCCCGCTGCGCGAGACGCACCACCGCCGCGACCGCATCAAGAAGCTGTGGTCGCACCTCAACCCGTCCGGCGGCGTGCTGCTGCTCATCGAGAAGGGCACGCCGCTGGGCTTCGAGGCCGTCGCGGGGGCGCGCTCGACGCTGCTGCGGAGCTACATCTCGAGCCCGGCCTCGACGCACCGCGCCATCGGCGGCAACAGCGGGCTGGAGCGCGACCTCGACCCCGTCGAGAAGGAGCCCGGCGCCATCATCGCGCCGTGCACAAACCACGCCGAGTGCCCGCTGTTCCCGCACGGCTACACGGACGGCGCGGGCCGCAGGGACTGGTGCCACTTTGTGCAGCGCTACGAGCGCCCGAGCTACCTGCAGCGCGTCATGGGCGAGCACACGCGCAACCACGACGACCTGCTGTACTCGTTTGTCGCCGTGCGCCGCGGGTCCGACTACCGGCGCTCTGCCACGGCCGTCATCGAGCCCGACCCCGAGGAGTTCAAGCACCCCGACGCCGGCGCCGGCGCGGCGGGGTGGGCTGCGCCGACGCAGAGCCCGTATAGCATGGAGCAGCTGCGGCGCTACGCGTTCACGCTGCCGCGCACGCTGTTCCCGCCGATCAAGCGCCACGGACACGTGACGCTGGATGTGTGCACGCCTGCGGGGACGCTGGAGCGGTGGACGGTGCCAAAGTCGTATTCGAGGACCGCGTTCCGGGATGCGCGCAAGAGCCGGTGGGGGGATCTGTGGGCGCTGGGCGGGAAGAGCAAGACGCTGCGGAATGTGCGGGTGGGGGGGAAGGCGCCGGCGGGGAAGATTGCGAAGCTGATGAGGGTGCCGGATGGGGAGGGGGGCGTGGAGGAGAGGGTGGCGTATAAGAGTGTGGATGGTGCGGGGAAGCATTGGTCGCGCGGGAAGGCGGGCCTGGGGGACCGGGTGGCGTATAAGAGTGTGGATGGTGCGGGGAAGCATTGGTCGCGCGGGAAGGCGGGCCTGGGGGAGAGGATTAGGGAGAGGCAGAAGGGGAGGAGGGAGATTAGGTGGAGGGCGAGGGAGAAGGAGATGGGGGTGGAGGGGTATTAGGGGATATTGGGTTTGGGGGGGGGGGTTGTATATAAAAATGTATTTATGGAGGCTGTGCACTCTCTCTTCTCTGGGCTTTGGGTGTGGATAGTAAGGGGGGGGTAGATTGTACGATAGGATGGTGGGGTGGTCGACCGCTTTTTGTATTTACTCGAGACATTCGATACCCCGAGGGGTACACACAGGGAAATAAAACGGAGTTATTCAGAATATTCTTTTTAGCTACTTGGCCATTGCTTCAATCTTTGATTTTACAAGTAAAACCTGCGAATTAGAATATCCCACTACCGAATGATAAATGCACTTGTTAGTCTACGATATCTCTGAATCTACTAAAAAAAAAACAAGGCTTGCCACTTCCCCCATCCTACTCCTTTAACAGGGGCGGGGTATGCTCCAGCCGAGTGATCATCCATGATTAGTCCTATAGCCGAGGTATCCGTCACACGGAATCACTCGGTAGAACAAATCAGCCGCCTCGATCCCCCCCTCCCTCGTCTGTCTGCATTCAGGACTTGCGGCAATCCGTGGCCCACCAACACAAAAAAATCCACAGACTCGCTGGAAGCGGCTGCATGGCGGCGGTGCGAAATTATCTCGATCGAGTAGGTAGTGTTTTTCATTGATCACGACGCTGATATAGGCCGGCGTGATCCGCGCGCGGGAATCGATTGATGTACGTACCGGTAACACATTCATTCGTGATTTGCGAGAACGGACGATGGAATAGAATAGGCTAGACATATGTGATTATTCCAACACCGAAATGTTACTTGCAGTGCCTTGGATTATACAGATTAATTAAACCCACGTGCACCCCCCCTACCAGTGATGCGTAGAGTATTGGCTCTCGGGGTGTTCTTAATATACCCCCATTGTACTCGTGCGCTCGGAATTCTTGGTAGGCATTGTTCGGAGCGCAGATTTATAAGAGACTGGATTAAGCGAATCGCATTGCAGCATTGATGATTGACATGAACAGAAGGCACAAGAATAGACGGAACAAGCTCCTTTGATAACAGAAACATTGTAGATAAACACGCATTATTAAGATAACCAAACTCGTTGCCTTGACACGGTACTAACAACTGATAGCAAAGACTGCAAAACAACAGCACCGATTATCTGACCAGTTAATGAACGTGCGAGTACGTGTGTGATATTAAAACGCATCAACAAGTGTCGAGATAGCTAGGGCTCATGACTACAGAGAGCTGGCTTGTTCACTATATTTCACCCCTCTCCAAATTTTCGCCCCCTCTCTAAACTTTCTCGCAACTTCCACAATTAAACGTCCCCTACCACAAGAAACAACACAAAAAACAACACAAAAACTATATCTTATCTATTACCAAAACCCATACTCCGAACAACCAATATTTAACTTTCTACACAACCCCAACTCACTCACTCGCCCACATCCCATATCCCCTCACGCCCCTCCCTCACAACCCTCATCTCCTCCTCCACCACATCCATCTCCCTATCCAGCGCTACCAGCTGCGCCTCCCTCACTGCCCACACCACCCCCTCCCCTCCCAGAAGTGCAAAACCCTCATTCTCACTCTCATACAGCGGCCTCTTCGCCTTTGCTGTAATGCTCGCCGCAACACACATCTGTGGGTCGGGGCCGGGGACTTTGTCGGTGGCGATGAGCTGGCAGAAGCGCAGGAAGACGGTGTGGTAGTGGGCTTGCAGTAGCTTGAGGATTTCGGTGATGATTTGGTTTTGAGGGCGGGGAGTAGGGCATTGCATGTTGAGGGTGCGTAGAAAGTGTTTTTGGCTGTTGGTTGTATATAGCTGGGGGATGTAATGGGTCTAGTGCAGAGAGCGGGACTGGTGGTTTATAATTTTAAAGTGATTTCTTCTTTGGATGGCATCTAAGGGCCGTGGAGAACGGAAGGGCGTCCGAAACTCTCTGCGTCAAAGGGTCTTGGATCAAGATTATTCTAGACATATCTGGCAGCCATGATAGTCCGAGAATCTATGAGGTTCTAGAGCTTTACTCTGCTAGAAACATTTTGAGTTTATCGATTTTGAATCGTATTGTGCACGCGCCGAGCTCATTCGTCCTATTAGGATCGGAGCTCGAGGTCGTCTCTTCACCTGAGTACGGCCCGGTCCGGTCGTCGTAACAGGCGGTCGTGCGCGCAAGAAATCAACCTCCGTACCATACCGCTGCGCCGACCGTCATCCACTCTCATCGGAATCAGTACTTCTCATCGGCCGGTCCTCCAACCCAAGTACCCCCCCCCCCCCCCCCCCCAGCCGTGGAGAATCGTAGCCATGGAGTCGTACCAGCCTCAGTTACTACTATCTAGTAGATAAAATATTTCTACTACTTTACCCGACCAGGATGCTAAAGTAGATAAGCAATCATCTAATTCTCAAGAGGACGGCGCGCCCGGGGACCACAAGAGCAGCTCAAGACAAAAGAAATTCAGATGAGGACGGAGGTTGGGTGCTTTGGATTCGGGATGTGAGCGTATGTTGGCTCCTGTTGGTTTGCGCTTGCAGGTTCTTGAGGCCTTAGGTATGCTCGTTACATCCAAGAGCAGGCTGTCCGTATGCGACGGGCACGAGGCTATGTTTTAGGTTCCTTTCTGTCCATTTGTAAAGTCTCTGGCAAGTTCTCTAGAAGACACAAACAGCCCTGATCCCTCCCGGGGACGCGGGGCCGGTACAAAAAGGTTCCCGCGCGACTGTCAGGGCCGATGTGCTGTACGAAACCGAACCTCTGTAGAACGTGAGGTTCGTTATAGAAGACCGGGAAAAGCAGTCAGAAGAAGAAGGAAAATAGCAGCGTTTGAAAATATAGCTAGTGGTAAATAGTAGGGGAAATGACTTTTATTATGCTTGCAGCTGTTGTTAACCAGAGAGCCGGGGGAGACAATACTTGCAACAAGCTGCAAAATTCGATAGTAGCATATGGGCAGGAACTCAAACTCGCATCTTCACAGTGCGGTAGAGACACTTCCACAGGCTCGAAAAATAGGCTTCCTAGCCCATGGGGCCACCACCTAGACGGACCCCACTGCTCGATCAACCATCTGAGCGAGGAATCCAGGAGAACTCTGAAAACGAGCTGAGAATCTCCTGAGGATGTACACCTCTCTGTCTTGCGCGCGAGTCCAATCGTATTAGTTATAAAAAACTTACTTCCGGTAAGCCCCCCCCCATGCACAATATCACGAACCCACTCAACTTATCCCTTCATGGTACGACAGCATATCATATTTCTCCTAGAACTCGGGGAGAAGCCCATCACTCCTGCCCCTCAAGCTATACTGAATTCGGATATGATAATTGATCGGCGAGGAAGCTGTTCATACCTACTAGCATTTAGTTTTAGTATCATGCTTTACCTGGATGGATGGTGGTCTAGGGATGTGTGCACGTTACACCTAACCCGGGAGAATTGGATGTTTTTCTAGATGCTCATCGCATGAGAAATCATTGTAGGATTACGATTCCGGTGATACCTCAATTGCAGATCAAAGCCCATCATTGCTCATGTGAGTGTAGGTGAACCGGCTCTAATCCGACGGAAGCTGGCTAAACAGTCTCCCCATTTTTGACATCTGTATGCACCACATAAAATACTCTACCTCCATACCCTGAGGCCATACGTACCAGGAAAATGAGAACCTTGGGGCGTTTGACGTGCCAAACCCCTCACCCCCAGAACGGATGAATTCATAAGGTGCAGCTCCTCCCGCTTGTCCGAAATTGAGACCTGGGTTTCTCCGTTGGTTGAAAACACTGGTTTTCCAGAAACCGGAATAACCAATTTCCCAACTGCGCCGTTAGTCTACCCACTAGTGCTAAATGTACCAATGATGTAAAGTAGAGCAAGTCGATTACTGACAATATAAGCTAGTAAGTACATGCAGTGTTCCTGCTTATGCGTCCCGTGACACGTACGATAACCTTGATCTCTGGACGGTGAGAATAAATGTACCTAGATGCAAGGCCTATCCTAGGGCCTCATAACTAGGGGTATTAAGGGTATAATGAAAATGAATTGATCGCCGTAATCACCCGATGAGCCAAACCGTATCTATTTTCATATATGAACTTGAGCAATTAGCAGCTGAGTTGTTGGAGTCCGATTATTGGTATTTAAGGGGACGGTGAAGAATACGAGTGATTTTGCATGAACGTACGGACGTACGTGCACACAGTCAGTGCCCCCCTTTTTTTTCCCTTCGTCACCTTAAGCTTTCCAGCCACTGTTTTTGTAAACACAGCTTTTGGCCTTGGCTCGTGCACCAGATGAACCATCGATCGAATCCAGCAGGAACACACGCGCACGGATTAGAACCGTTGCAAGTATGTAGCAGGCGGGGTCATGCACGAAACAAGCTTGTAGATTCAATTCAAACGGACGTTTCCCAATTGCACGCTAAGACGAGCAGAAAAAACCCGGGCTAACGGGATTCATGGTGCAACAGTTTAAACACCAATATCACAAAAGCTTCAGCACACGATCAGGATTCAGGATGCGTAGTTGTATTGCTATTACAAGCTGGTGCACGGCGGCAAGCAACACACGCGATTTTTCCGCGCCAGGCCAGGTCTCTGTCATGGATTCTCACCCAAGGTTGTGATCCCCTCCCCCCGGGCCCTTCCCCCCTCAATGTCTTGGAATTGAAGCTGTTACCCCTGGCCTAAGTAACCATGCGGGATCCACTTTGTGTGGCTGGTGCTAACTAATATCAAGGTACATACCCCGCACTACTATTAGTAGAGCACCTAGACCCCACATATCAAATAGATTTCTGGTTAGAGTGGATATTTGGCTTGACCGCGTAATCCGTCCAACTCCAATTGCAAGGGCAACTCTTTATTTCTCCCGTACTTGTACCAGCAGTCCAATAGGGAAAATATGCGTGTGAGGTTACACATATCCGTCCGTTCGTTCCCGCAAAGACTTACATCTTCGGATCGTGAGTTTTTCCGTCGCGTACGTCGTTACTTTTTCCCGGTAGGAAAAAAATATGATATGGACAGATGACATCTGCATGAGGGGTGGTAGCAAGGAGGATATTTCTGGTCTGATGTTCCTTAATGAGGTGGGGCAAGCTGAGGTGAAAAAGAAGCAGCAGCAGCGGGACCTTGAAACAAGAAACGTTTCCTTCCAAGCGAAACTATCTATGCCAGGCAGCAGAGCTTGATTGGACGATTGAATATGGAAGGTCTCTAAGAGGTGTACCACGTTTATGTGGAGTCTCCAAATGATGGTTCCTGGGGAAGGGCCGTATGTAGACACTTTCGTTGGGGATGATTACTCTACTATAGAGCACCAGCTGGCCAGCTAGCTAAGAGTCGTGTGATGAAAAGCCCTGTTGGATACCTATCGGTGAGACTAGTAAAGACTTGATTCCAAAAAATCTTGACAGTCAAAGCGGGAGGCAAAAAAAAAAAGCTAGTTCTGCAGGATGAAGAAAGTCTCGATGTTGTCTATCTGCATGTGAGCACGGATTTACTTTTTTGATATCTCACGGTGGTGGTGGCGGTAACGGAAAAAATGTATTGGAAGAAAAAACAAAGTAATAAAAGGAAAAGTGAAGTGCACTGCCCAGAAACCAGGTTTGACAGGCCGGAGAAACATCGGACAATCTTTTTTCTTTTCACGATAATGAAAATCGCGCTTCCACAACATTAACCTCAAGGTGCTGTTGTGTGTGGATGAAAGACCACATTCAATTTTTTCGATTGTAATCTTACGTAGGACATGAATTCAACTGAGCAAGGTATGAAGATAGATGAAAAGTAATCGGTGTTGTGCCCGTTGACCCCGCGAATTCAAATATCTGGAGAAGATAGCACAGTATGGAGACCCCTCGTTTTCCTGTCCCCGCGTTGTTGAGAGGCAGAGCTACCACTCGAATGGTAAGATCATGATAATTAGACGAGGACGGTGAGCCAGGGTGGAGGGCGTCAATCGAGGTTTTTCCATCTTCATGCATATCTTGTGCCCTATCCTGCAGGGCCGGCATGGAGTCCTGTTACATCAGAGCCAGAGTTCTCGGCGATATCGCCGGTTACACGAATCTAAATTCTAGAAGTTGGGGTTAATCCGGGGGGCAAGCTTCAAGCCACCATGGTCGGGGAAAGAAGGTCAAGGCCCAAGCCTCTCTTTCTGCTCCACTCTGACCGCCCGCCCACCCAACACGGCTAGTGCGGGTAAGCTGTCTGCTTTTTCCCCGCCACGAAAAGTGTAGCGAAATTCCCCGGACATGCTGATTCGTCGTCATCAGGCGGTCGTGGTCTAAGGCCTCGGACTTGGTTCCGGGAAACTCTTGACGAGAACCTCTCTCTCCAACAACCTTCTTCCCCATCCAACCACCAAAAATCAATCTGTGGGGCCCCAATCCTCACCCATCCCGGTAGAATTATTAGCCACACCTCTTTCCATTTACGATTTGACTACAGCCAAGCGAATTGCGGGACTATCCTTGTCTAATATTATCCGTTACTGAGAGATTTCCGACTCTCCCCCCCCTCGCCTCATTCCCCGTAATCTGGGTGGTGGCCATGAGATGCGTGTGAAAAAAGCAAAAAAGCAAAAAGGGTGAATTTTTGTTGATCGCAAACCCACCGTTACTTAGTGCCATTCCGTTTGGAGGCTTGAATCTCGGCGAAATGTCCATTACTGTTTCTACGGCCGGCCGCTGGGACCGTAATGTGAAGTGATTGACGTAAGAGTCGAACATCTACTATAAAGACAACACGATTTCCTCGAATTCCAAAACATCATCAGCCAGCTTCTCCAGCGAGCCATTCCCCATCAGAAAGGTTTATTCTTCACAGTCGATTCAACAACTCGGAATACCTTCGCAATGGCTGTCAAGAAGTCTACGAAAAAGGTCATCTCCGACAAGGAGGCCACGGGAAACAACGAGATCACTCTCAGGGAGTCGATCTTCCCCCTCTTTTTGGTGACGATCTTGTTCTTCCTCTGGGGATTTGCATACGGATTGTTGGATGTCTTGAACAAGCATTTCCAAGAAGTCCTGCATATCACTAGATCTCAGAGCTCCGGGCTGCAGGGAGCGTACTTTGGGTGAGTAGTATTCGACCCAACACTGTACTGCACTTCAAGTTGCTAATAATTCATAGTGCATACTTCCTCGGTCCCTTGACATTCTCCGGTTACATTCTCCGCCGATGGGGATACCGCGTTGCCTTCATGACCGGTCTCTGCATTTACGGAGTCGGCGCATTGATGTTCTGGCCCTCCGGAATGAAGGAATCCTTCGGTGGATTCTGTGGTAGCATGTTCATCGTCGGATGTGGCCTTTCAACCCTCGAGACCGCTGCCAACCCTTACATTTCCGTCCTTGGACCCCCCAAGTACCTCGAGATGAGACTCAATTTGGCCCAGGCCGTCCAGGGTATGGGAACTGTCCTCGCTCCCGTTCTCGCCTCCCACGTGTTCTTCAAGAGTGTCTCCGACTCAGCACTCCAGAGCGTTCAATGGGTCTACCTCGCAATTGCCTGCTTCGTCTTCTTCCTCGCTGTCGTCTTCTACTTTGCTCCGCTCCCCGAGATTACAGATGCCGATATGGAGACTCAGGCCCAGGACGATGCCGGAGATGGCACTGCAACCACCTCCTCAAAGCCAATCTGGCAACAGAAGACCCTCATCTGGGGTGTCCTTGCTCAGTTCTGCTACGTCGGATCTCAATGCGCTGTTGCTGGATTCTTCATCAACTACGTCACCGAAGCCAAGCCTGGTCTATCCTCTGCCGAAGGATCCAACTTCCTCTCCATCGCACAAGCTGGTTTCGCCATTGGTCGTTTCATTGCCGGTTTCTCCATGAAGTTTGTCAAGCCCCGTCACATTCTTTTCGTCTTCTTGGCTGGATGTGTTGCGTTCGCCGCCGCCTGCATCAAGGGAGAGGGAAACACTGCTGTTGCATTGATCCATCTTGTCCTGTTCTTTGAGTCTTGCTGTTTCCCAACCATCTTCTCGCTCTCCCTCCGTGGTCTTGGAAGACACACCAAGCGTGGTGCCTCCTTCCTTGTTGCATCCGTCTGTGGTGGTGCTGTTTTCCCACCAATGATGGCCGTTGTCTCTGATTCCAGGAACTCCACAAAGTTTGGAATGATTGTGCCAATGGCTGGCTTTATCGCGGCATTCTCATTCCCCATCTACTTGAACCTCTTTGAAGCCGAGAGACTTGACTCCTACTCCAAGTCCACCGTCGGTCTCGAGAACAAGGAGTCTGATTCCGAGAAGCTCGGTGTCGAGAGCGACAAGGGCACTGAGGAGATCAGAGTTGAGAAGTTGTAAATTTAGGACTTGTTTGGTTTGGTTTACGCACTGTATGCCATGTATGTGCTGCTATACATGTGTGTGCTGTTTATGTTTTTTTGTCTTCTTCGGTTTTGTACAGTTGGAGTGGACCGTCTAGAGAGCTTTTTTAGACTCGGTTTCCTTTTTTTTTTAGTGTTTAGTATTTCCTTCAAACGGCGTTTTTATGAAAAGAGACCACATTCATGTATTACGATAGAAAAGAACGAAAGAAAGAGATATAGACTCACTTTTTATACTTATGTCCTAATCCTTCCTCCCACCCTCCACACATGTGACCCACGATCGAGCACGGTGTAAAGCACCCCGAGACGAACCCAGGCAGACTAGCTTAGGAAAAAATTACGGGGGTTCGGGCCTCGGTAATGGTCAAACAACAAGCCGATTTGCGCCTATCGAAATCTCACGATACCACTTTGAGGCTGCGAGTGATGAGCTGTGATATGGATTTAGCCTCAATTGACAACACACAGCAAGTGGGCAGATGCTTTGGCTGGTGTAAGTGTTGGCGTAGTGATGTTGATGTTCTGCGTCTCGGGTGCTGGTTGGTGAGCGATGTTTACTATATATGGGCGCGGTATAGTGAGACATGCGAAGGGGGAAAAGAAAGAGGGGGGGGGGGGGGGGTGCACGAGTGATTCGAGATGATCGGGGCAGAATAGGTATATACCTAGACTAGCTAGCCGACGCGGGTGCTGTATATTTTTTCAAACCATATAATCATCTGCACCCCCACACAGAATTGGGAAGAGGGGGGGGGGGGGGGGGTTAGCGATGGGACGATAAACTGGTAGAGCCATGCCATGAGAATTAAAGTAATCATAGCAGTGATTGAGTGTTGCACCCTAGGAACAAAGAGTTTGTTAGTCAGCCAGGATGATGGCGTTGTTAATTGGTTGACGGACGAGTTGAATGTTGGTTAACGATTTTAGGCTCGTTGTATTTAGATTCGTCTATGTGAAGTCTGGGCTGGTCTCGAGAATATTGCTCTGGCTCTTTGATCTATTGCTCAGGCTCTTTTGATCTATTGTTCGGATGGAATGATTGATGGTTTGGACTGATTGATCGGTAACATAGAGGTCCTCTAAACTACATACACAACGGCAACCGCATTTAAGGGTTGAGCTCTTGGCAAGTGAGTGGTAATGATTATTGGTGGATGTCAATGATAGTTGTGACAGGCCGGGGCTAAAATTCCACCAACGAAAATTCATAGGCAGCAATAGCGACAGAGATCAATGCAATAGATATGGGCAAGAGCCATATAATACTTTTATTTTCCCTCCTGTGGTGTTCGCGTACAAACTTGCTTGATTATTGCTATTTCAAATCTCATAAATACATAAAGATCACACAATGCATGCAGCAAGCCAATACAGTACCAACGCCTCGAATTCATCAGAGTAATCCACGCACACATAGTCTACCACAATCTATCAGAAAAAGGTATCCCCTTTCCCCTAGCGGTTATATAACTATTGTCAACCCCAACCCATACACGCCCCCAACTACCTCTCTGAAGAACCGCCATACTTGCGCCAATATCCCGCGCCCCTCCTCCCTCCGCTCTCCGTCGGCATCCGCGTCATGGTCCGCCGGCTTATTCACACTGTACGTGTACTCGGCCGGCTCTTTATGCCACTCCAGCTCCGGGACCCTATTAACGTGGACGGAAGTCATGTCAAACGCTATTTCAGGCGTGTGCGGTTCATTGATGACGTTGGAGGTGACAAGAACAGAATCCATGTCGAAAGATATCTCACCCTTGAGGAGGGTAGGTTGATTTCCGACAGGGGCGGCGACTCCGACAGAATGTCTTACCGGAGAGAGCTCGGCTTGGTGGTTTCGAGACGGCAACCCGGATGCGATAGTGGGCGAGGCCGCAGTGTCCTCAGTTGACAAAGCTGGCTGGCGGTAGGCCCGCCCCCGCCGGGCGAAGAAGCCAGCAATCATCTCTATCTATACGACTGGAAATTTAATTGGTCCATGGTCGTGGCGGGAGAGTATTTATTCATGAATATCCCATCTAGCTGTCCGGCATCATGACGCTAATTGATGATTGTTGTGTATCGTATTTGCTGTTCATCGCTGACGAGCAAATGCATGTATAATGAACGAGTAAACTCCTCTCCAGGTGCTTCGCTCATCATTCACGCACGCTCACTCGTGCTTGGCGGGGACACTTTTCATCATGATTAGCCCTAGAGCTAGGGGAAGTTAGTGTACTCTAGAAAAAAAACTTCGTATGAGGCTAGCTCGGCATCATGACGGTATATAGTTGTGCACAAACTTTATAAATTTAGTAGCCCGTTACTGCATTAGGGAGCTACCAGATATTAACATTTTCAGGCTGTTGGTGATCGAGGTCTCTCTCTGAGGCCTACTATAGAAGGAGCTGTGACCAACTCTGAATGTTCGGATGAAGGAAGACGAGAGTGATGATGGTTGTATTAAATGGATTGCCGCAGCTTAACTTATAGGTCTTGAAACTAACACATATGCTTAACCGAGTCGACCATGTAGCCGTTGAAACGTACACATCTTCTGCTAAACTGCCCCACATCGATTCGTGAGCCTAGCTACGTAAGCTAGACAACAGTTGAAAATTTCAACTCTACACACTCCACTTATAGAGTCCACAAAATTCAACAAGCCGTCACCACCCTCTTCTAAAGGCGCAAGTATCACAACTACGCATCTCACCACTAAACAATAATCACACAAATACAAACCCGTCACTCGCCCAGTCACACCACACCACGTGCATTCAGAATGATCTATTCTATCCAAACCGTGGCATCAGGTTGATATAAGCCAGCATGGAGTGACGGGCAAAAACCTGCCCCCCCCCCCCCCCCCCGCGTGCCACCCCTTCTGCAGGGGCCTGGAAATAGTGAGCAAAGCCATCTAGTCTACAAATGTTGTCTGAAGCTTCAATTCTACCTTATAAATCTAAATACTCACACCCGCGCGAGAAGAACTTCGTGATAAACCAGGGAAATTATGAAACTATACTAAGAAAATTTGCGGGACACCCTTCAATGAAAAGTACCAGATATCCGTGCACCCGGAAGCCCACGGGAGGGTTAGAGACTCGCTAGAGCCCATCGATAGACCCGCTCTGTATTTTTTATCTTCAATTGCCGAGAACCTGCCGAAGACAAAGATGGACCATTCCCTTTTATTCAATCATGCCTTGTCACTTCCATCTCATAGGGTCTCAGGTAAATCAGTGTAAAGATGAGCACACATGCTTCTAATAGTCCCAAAGACACGCTAACCGTACATAGATTAATATATATTGCTTCAGCTTAAATAAGCAAAGAAAAGTTAACGTACTACATAATAACGTCCCTGGATGAAAAGGAAGAAAAAAGAACTCTCTCCAAACTATGTCATGTAGATCTCCTCTACTGAACAAAGGTACTTACCGGTCGTATCGGACATATACCGGAGGTAGTCTAAATATCAAGGTAATCGAACCCATAGTATTAGCTAGCCTTGATCTCCTCGATCCTGCACTAGTCATTGACGCAGGGACTATATTTAAACAAGTCCCCGGGAAAGGTATTTATAGAGTTATGTGGAAGAAAAGTCGCTAGGTATCACCATTAAAGGAATTATACCAACCCAGCAAAAAGCTAGTTAAGAAACACATCACTGCACGGAAAACGGTATTTCCACGCCTCATGCCTCGGGACAGTGCTTTTCTTTCCATAAGCACATGATATCTCTCAAAAAGAACCCGATGTCGATAATTGCAACGAAGGAATTCAAAACAAACGCAGAAGTATCATCAATGTTATAGTTACTAAACCCCAACCCTTACAAAAAGAGGCTTTTCCAGACCACACCTAAAGTAACGAGAACAACTTCAAGACAGTCTAGGATGTACTCTACACTACCCTACATGTACACGCAGCAAGGGAATCAAACAAGTAAGAGAAGCGGGAGAGGCCCATGAAAGAATGAAGAATGAAACAGGCAAAGAAACACCGTCTACATCTGCCCGACCTTCTTCTTCTCCCTCTCAACCGCCCACCTTACCGCCTCGAGGACATTCTCCACCACGGATTTTGCGCCATTGGTGTCGTCGCCCTCTCTCCACACTCCTGTCTTTACGAGCACACTGACCCACTCTACACCTCTGTCGCTCTTGAATCTGTTGGCGCCCTCAATGTCACTCGCTGGGTTATCTCCGACCATGTATACGGTCCTCACACCCTCTGCGACCCCCTGCGCCCGCCTCCACTCCCAGAGCACGTCCTCGGCGTACTTGTATGTCTTCTCGTGGGGCTTTCCAATTATCTCATACGTCAACCGGACCCTTGAGCCCGTCGCCTTCCGCACCGCCCTAAATACGCCCACAAATGCCTCTCTGAACCCTCCCTGACCCAGCCGTGGCAAATGATATTTATTCGCCCACAGCAAGTCCGGGTTCGAGAAGTATAAGGGCACATGCGGTGAATTATCGTCCGCTCTACGCTTCGTCCCCAACCGCCCCTGGTCCGACATCACAACGTCGATCAGCAGCTGGATATCCAGTGCCCAGTCGCGCGGGTCGTTGAAAACCATCACAGCGTCTACTTTGACATTCTCCGGCAGCGGGTGAGCGTGCGGCGGGTTCTTGTCGATCGTGAACGGCGACACGGCCGGGTAGGCTGCCAAGACATCTGCGGGAACTATGACGTTTTTGAAGCCATACCCGTGGGCGACTTTACGGCAGTTGTCGGACTCACCGCCAACGACGAGTACGGTATTGAGATTCTTGTCGGCGGAGAGGGGGGAGAGCGGGGTGTGTGATTGGACCAGCTGCGACTTGTGGATGCTGTGCTTCAAATGGTGAGAGAGGTGGTTAACACGGGCCTCTTCAGTGTGGCCACCGCCGTTGGTGAGGAGGATGAATGGGACTGAGGAGGTTTGCAGCAGTGTCAGTGCCTCAGTGGCGGTGGGCGTTGGAGTGGTGTCGTGCATGAGGA